GATACTACCTGCCCGTACGTAACCGATCCACACCAGCTAGAACGGCGCACGGTGTTGGTCGCTGCCATTGCCGGGATTGTAATCTGCATCATCACTGCACTCACCTTATTTGTTAAATGTAACGCGAACCGGAGAAATTCGAGGAGAGGCAAAAGGGTCATTCAAGGGTGGGAGTACGAAGGTGTCCCTTCGTAATTCGGTCATTTCTCACCTCTACTTCGATATAAAACGCCCATATAATCCGTCTGATAGCTGCAAAACAATATTTATTGGATTTGAGGAAGCTACTAACTACCTAACAAACCTTTATGCAAAAGAAGTATTATCAAAACATGAAAGAAAATCCGTCGCGTAAAACTCGTTACAATTCCATTCCATCATGAAAATGACCATTCCACCATCAACAAATCTGATCATCCAAATATTACCCTGAATTCCAAGTTGCCGGTCTAGAGTCCAGCGAAGCGAGCCCATCCAGCAGCTCTCATCGGCTTCGGACTCTCTGTGACCACACCACCCCTTCCTTCCTCGGCGACCTTTCCACTCACATCGCGTCGTCGTCCCACACCCAAGTTGGCGATGTAATTACCATACGCCAGGGAGGAGCCTGATCCAAAATCATGCCGACCGATGTCAGCTCCGGAGTTACTGACAACACGACCCTTGCGGTCACTGTCCGCAACGACGGGATCGGTAGGTACGGGAGGGATCTCATTTTCGCCGTCCAGATCATCGGTGTCATGCTGCTTGAGCGAACCGTACGTGTTTAGTTTCTGGCTGTTGCGTTTGACGAGCTTACTCTTCTTCCGGCCCAAATTTTGCGAGTCGGGATCGTTCTGACCGCTTGCGCTCCGGGGGACGCTGAGCCAAGGCTTAGTGTTGAGTTCTCCGTAGAAGCGGCCTTTCTTCTCGGGGCTGTCTGGGGAGGGAGGGGAAGCGGGAGGGTTAGGAGCGAGGTTCGGGATATCAGTGAGAGGGGCACGCGTCGGGGGATGGGATGCATGGTTGGTCTCCTCCTGAACCGGCTGTGGGGTGGGAGGGTTAAGGGCTAGAGGGTTGACCTGGAGGGAGGCGGAGAATTGCCGCTCGCGGTCGTTATGGTCGAGGAAGATATTGATGTTGTGGTCGCCAATGTCTTGCTCAGCGTTGTCGTAAAATCGTGTCACCTGAGGGATATCGTGAATATCCTCGTCATTTGCATAGTGTTCGTGCAAAGCGAGTGACTCGTACTCGCCGCGAACATCCTCCGAGATTGCCTCGTTAAGGTGCAGGTCGTAGCGCTGGGCGGAAGTAAGCCAGTCCTTGAAGCTGCTACCTGCAGAGATAAGGCTTTCCGCTTGACTGTAGGCAGACGAGGGTTCTCGACGGGCTAAGTTCTCATTCAAACCAGCCTCTGCGGGAGAGGGTGACCGAGAAGGGTAGACGATCCAGTTGTCCGAGTCTGGGCTCACGCATTGAGTTCTGTCAGGAAGGTCATGAGAGACTTGCTGAGCATGGTCGTTGTGAGAGTCTGCCAAGGGCGGTTGCACCGACGCTTGCTGGTCATGCTGGGCCAGGAAGGAGTGCTGAGGGACAGGTGGGACGGGTGGGACAACCGTGTCGGTGTATATCGATTGCTGTGATCGCCTCTTCTCGTTAATAACGGAAAACCGACTCGAGGCATCTTCTGAGGACTGGTTGCGGGTGTGCATGAATGGCACATGCCGAGCAGGGCCAATAAGGGGCTCTTCCATAGACGTTGCAGATGCCACAGTAGACTGGCTGAGATGCTTTTCGTTGATTTCCGACTTGTTTCGTTTATGAGGACGAGCAGTCAGGTTGTCTTCGAGAGGATTCAGATCCGGAGGCAGCTGGGAGATCTGCCGGAATATTAAAGCCAGCCAGACAGAAATGCACAGAGAGATCAAATGAAAGCTTCCGTTGACAATGCTAAGGATAAAAGTGGACTGAGCGATCTTGTCCGTGATACTAGTCTCGGCGCTCAGCAGAGTGCTCCAGTGGTAGGCATTGTTGGTGATCTGCTTGTATGCGATGTATGCGGAGAAGACATAATATGGAATCAAGCCAAGGTCAAGCGTTGCCGCAAAAACCATGTAACTGGCTTGTGATCCAGCAGGTCTGGTAACTGGTGAGCGACATAGGTGATAAATTCCGTAGAGGGTATGAAGAATGGCAACGATAGGCTGCACAGACATTAGCTGGATTCGCAAGAAACCGTATTTGTGGACTTACCCCGACTCGAATGATCCAAATGATCGAGATAGCAACATTCTTAATGACAATGGCACAAAAGAGCGAGCCAAGAGCGCCGAGTAATGCCAGCACACGCAGACCAAGCTGTACTCTTCGACCATAGAACACTCTTCCCTTTGTGCTGGGGCTCATGGGAGTCCATCGGGACACTCCATCAGGAAAGTTCGAATACTATCGATCGAGCATCAATAAGAGGTGTGTGCAAACCAGGTGAGATGTTAAAGAATAACTTACCGAGTCAGGGTGTCTGTTGAAGCTAACATAAGGTCCTTTCTGCTTAGGTTTTGGCCGCGGACGAGTCCAGCTCGCCTGTGTCACGGCCTTTGGATTGAATGGACGATCCGTCGGTCCATAAAACCTATGCGAGGAGGGAGGATCATAAATGAATGGAGGCAATGATCTCCCCATGGCCGCGGTGGATGATGCTTATCGGCGCATCCACGCGAGGAGTGGAATGTGGGCGTTGAATGACCCAGATAGAAAGGAATGCTGGGGGAAATCAACCAAAATGTGTATGCAAGGTACGATGGGGATGTGGTTCGAGAAGCACACGCGGAACCATGGAACGGGAGGAATGCATGAGGAGAAGAGAAGTCTGTCATCAAGATACTACCTTACCTAGGTGATAATCATCATCACAGATCGGCCCCATCCAAGGCAGCTCCCAATCGGGTGGAGCATCAACACTCGCGATAGTCGGCGCGGCAACCGACTGATAAGGGTCACGTGCGGGCCTCGGAACGAAATGGAGTCATCGCTGGACGACTAGTTTTCTAGTGTCTATCTTAAGATTCTAATGGATATCCTCAGTGAATAACGATGACTCTCAAACGCGCTCCTTATTTTTGCGCCCAATGCAGCGCAAAAATAAGTTACACGTCGCTATACCGCCCACACGGTCAGCGACTGGCGCAATTGACAATCCAGCGCCGGCACCAGAGCCAGACGATAGCGGCCGATCGCCCGTTTCGCGTTGCCATTGTAGGGTCAGGACCTGCTGGATTCTATGCAGCCTATAGACTGCTCTCTAAAGTTGAGGATGCCGTGGTGGATATGTATGAGAAATTGCCGGTCCCCTTTGGCCTGGCACGATACGGAGTTGCGCCGGACCACCCGGAAGTCAAGGTACTCTTAATGCTTCTAGACACATTTGTGTACATCATGTTGATTCTTTTCCCCAATAGAACTGCGAAGAAAAGTTTACCGAAGTTGCAGCCTCTCCGAGGTTCAACTTTATCGGCAACATCGAACTCGGCACTAATCTACCTCTCCAAGCGCTGAAACCACATTACGACGCCATCCTATTCGCATACGGAGCGCCGAAAGATAAGCGGCTAGGCATACCTGGTGAGGATGCACTCCGTAACGTGTACTCAGCGCGAGAATTTGTGGGGTGGTACAATGGCCTCCCGGAGCACCGTGATCTGGCACCAGATCTTACGGTCGGTGAGGATGCTGTGATTGTTGGCCAGGGAAACGTTGCCTTAGATGTCGCAAGGATACTGTTATCGGATATCAATACTCTACAAAAGACAGACATTGCAGAGTACGCGGTGGAAGAGTTGGTCAGGAGCAAGATCAAGCGTGTTCGGGTTGTAGGCCGTCGCGGGCCGTTGCAAGTACGTTTGACCAGTTCCTCTGTAGCATGCAATGCTAATTTGCCCTTAGGCCGCTTTTACGATCAAAGAAGTCCGGGAGCTTCTACAGCTGCCTTCTGTGTCGTTTGATCCAATTCCTCGAGACCTCTTCCCACCAGACGACGTCATATCTACGCTTCCTCGAGCACAAAAAAGATTAATGCAGCTGCTGGCGAAGGGGTCAGCCAATGACCCCAATACTGCGACCAAGTCATGGTCTTTAGATTTCCTTCTTTCTCCGGAACGCCTGAACTGGTCTCCTGTCCATCCCTACCGCCTCTCGTCCGTCACGTTCTCCCGCAATGAACTGGATCCGAGCGATCCTCACACACCTAGCGCCAAGGTTAAACCAAAGTACCTCTCAAGCGGGAAGCGGGCGCAAGTCGACATACCCGCCAACACTTTCTTCCGCAGTGTCGGCTACAAATCCCTCCCTCTACCAGGGTTGGAGGATCTAGGCATCCAGTTTGACTCTGATCGCGGTGTGATCCCCAACGATGGCTTCGGTAGAATTACCGTCCCGAACACTACGGGAGGTAATGAGCGACTACCCGATGGTTCGCTGATCTCGCATCTGCCTGGGCTCTACTGTGCGGGCTGGGTCAAGCGTGGCCCAACTGGTGTCATCGCTACAACCATGACCGATGCATTTACCACCGCTGACACTCTGGCTGCGGACAAGGCGAGTCAAACAGGCAAGGGATCATTGCTGAATGGACCGGCCAATAGCACCGGACTTGGCTGGGACGGTGTACGGCCCGAGGCGGAGAAGCGCGGTCTACGACCAACAACCTGGCAGGACTGGGAACGCATCGATAAGGCAGAGCGGGAGCGGGGACAGCAGAAGGGGAAAGTTCGAGATAAGTTTGGGCGAGTGGAAGAGATGTTAGAGGCTATATCTTGATGACCGATGCCCTAGAATATACACTGTACATACATATATATATATAGATTGTATGAATCTTCACTCATGACATTAAAGGATCGTATATAAACATAAATCAACAAGTCTAAGGATCGAAAGAGGCCTTGAAAGCCACGCCGTTATGCACATGCACTGGTAAAAACCCACTTCATCTGTCTCTGTCCTTCCTACACCCAAAGATCCATCTATGCACAGAGGGATGGATCGGCCTCCTCATACGTTGCCTGCACCCTACCCAGCTGCGTCGCCAATCCGTTCGTCAACTGGTTCATCGCATTCAGGCCAATGTTGAAACCGCCAGGAGCGGCATCAATCGCCGTAATGTAGATTGTGTTGTCGATATTGCCCGCGGCATAGTGCAGCGCGTAGCACTTTCCGCAGTTGGGGCTGTTCCAGCCCGGGATTGTGGGAGCGCCGCCGATGCGAGGGAAGCCGGGGACGCTGCCGAAGGTAGGCCACTTGGTCATGAGGCCGTAGATACCGTCGGAGCAGGACACAGTGGACATGGAGGTACCGGCCACGTCGTAGGCCTGGTCGTAGGAGACGGAGACGGAGGTCGCAGCTGCGGCGTTTGTCTCTGGGGTCGGGACCGCGAGAGCGGAGGAGAGGAAGAGGGAGAGGAGAGAGATGGGTGTAGTGAACTTCATCTTGAGGGGTCGAGTGGCTTTGCGTAAGTGTCTTGATAAGTTGAATTTGAGTGGTTGGGTGTTTTGGTGTTGCTATCTTTCTGGCTGTAGTAGCTGCGATCGTGAAGCTTTATATACTACTTCTCTTGCTGAATATGTCATGCTCTTCTGTCTATTATTAGCAATGATATATCGAATACTGGCGACCCGGATCAGGCGTCTTGCCATGCTGAAGAGGAGAGACACTGAAGAATTCATCACAACGCAAGGGTAGGCCTGAGTCTTGATCCTCAGAAACCGGATCAATCGCATATTGGTATGAGTGAGACACCCCCTCAGCTGGCCTTGGAAAGTAGTACGCAACTGAGATCGACATGGTACTACAGATGATAGTGGAGTGCCAAATGCGGGGATCCAAGACTCTGCGACTGACACCCGTTCGAGTAACGCTCGGTCATCTGATGATGTTGAGTCCACCAGGCGATGAGACATACAGCTTCACAGTCTTCCAGCAAGTTCCACCCGCCTCGGATGACACCGTCGATCTTTTGAGATATTTTTGTCATACTTCGCAAGTACACAACTGCGGGAAAGTGCACTGAGTTGGTGACACGACTCCGTTTGAACGAATAATGGTCCCGATAAAAGAGACGCCTTAGACTGAGCATTATCGCCAAGCAATAATAACCATGCCTATTATGGGCTGCTTGTACGCCTACGAACTGACCGCTTCATAAGGCCTCCAGTCCGTCAGACGCCACATTGATCGGCTGGATCGAAGATTCGAACCTTGATCAATGGAAATCTGGCTAAGGTAAGGCTGAGCATTCTACACCTTCTACCAGTTGCCAGACCATAAGCATTCGATGAGGCTTTGAGTGACAAAACAGGAAATCGTCTCACGTGTGCCCGGTATGCTTATTGCTAAATATACATTCTGACCCAAGACATGTGCCACCCGATGCAAGCACAGCCTTGGCATTACGGGTCTGAATTCTAAGGCGAGGAGAGCATTGGCAATTCCGCAATGAAGAAATATCTCATTATCGACAATAGCTGTCAACATCTCAATCATCTTGGACCACGCATGAGGCAATAGAGAAGCTGCCAGATTTGTTCATCACTCGGTAATATCCTGTCGCTCGCTTCCGAGTGAGAGTGAACCATCGAGAAGTATTCCAAAATAAACACGTTCTCAGAAAGTACTTTGTTATGGCTATTGTGTGAGTGCGTCAGATATGTGACAAGTATTCGAGTGTTTACCTCAACTAAGTCGATATAGACAGTTTGGTTACTCTTAATATTGCGGAAACGGTATCTACCGACCGGATCAAGGGATATCCATTCGAGAGGTTTCCCTGGACCGAGGTCGTCTTCCGAAAATCTCAACCGGTAAACTCTAAACAAAACATTTTCTTTTGTGTGCTAGACGCTAGCACCATCCTTCAAGCCACCACAACTGAGCCAGTGCGCCACTGTTCGTGAGATTTTCCTCATCCAGATGAGATCGATGGCCTGACGGGGAATCTCCGCGACCCTTACCTTAAATGCGACCATTCGTCAGTATTCCGGTCAAATCATGGAATTGAGGTTGTTTCCCCATGGTAAACGTGCAAGTTCTCCTGACGCAAATTAAGGGGAGAAGTTCGGCATACAGGGTTAAGCTTTTGACGGAGCCTTGGACCAGACCCTGGCATCCTCTATAGCCTAGTCTTTCGATCCAGGGCAACACCACTAAATCCTAAGCCACAAGCTTTGGAGCTTCGGAGCAAGTTCCATTTCAGCACTGGCGAATTTACGCGTGGTCGATCTTCCACAAACTACGGCTCGACTGCGGAGGGCGAGGCAATTCAGGAATGACGTGCGTAATAGCGTGACGGGGATTCGTTAGTTGTCCTAATCTACCCTATCGGTATCTCGATTACATTATCCCGATGGAGTAAGTGGAACCGCTTGCCCCTCGTGTCTGTTCTTGAGTTACGTCTCTGTCCTGCGGCTCCATGCCAGAATCGACCGGTGGTTTTCTCAAGTGCAACTTCATTGAATGTCCTAGCCTTGTCAGTTCTATTGCTGATGGTGCCTCCGTTCTCTTGAAGGGCAGCTTCTAAAAGAACGCTCGCGTGATGTTGGAAATTGAAGAAGCTTTTGCCCTTCACTGGCCTGTGCAACGCCAAAATTGGCTGCAGCACAGCTGTTTTGAAGGGAGTGGCAACCTATTACTCCACATTGCCAGCGCCTTGCTAGTAGTGTGGGCTCTTCGAATCTTGGGGCCTTAGGATCTCGAAAGACAGACTTTGAACGTCGCTGTATCCTTTCCAGGGACCGTTGAAAAGTGTCGAGAGATCATCTCTGCAGTTCAATAGTAATGCAGATCGATATGATTTTCCAGACTGCTGGTTCCAATTTTCAACCCGATTCGCTAGAAAAACGTGCATCGGTATTACCTAGGTACCATCTCCCGTTGACTTTCGCTCGTGATCAGCCGCGGAAGTTTTGATGTTACTACCGGCACCATACAGAGCCACGGACTATTTTACAGATCAACGAGACTACCAGTGCTCTGGGTCCAGCAATTGGTAAAGCGGATCTTCGCTTCGAGATCTGCTCTTCATGCTCACAGATCCTTTACGCTCAATTTACCGTTAGACGCAGGCCAATGTGTGCTTTGACCCCCAGCCTAACTCCACGTGTTTTTCGCCCAGACAGCTCGGCAGAAATTGATATGGCTCAATTCGATGATATTGGATAGCACTACCTGTCTAATATCCACAGCATCTGGAATGTTGTCAGCTCGAGACCGCTGCTTGGTGGATCGCCTGTGGAGACAAACAGAGGTATATTGCCCCTCTTGCGGATCTCGTATTGTCCTGGCTCCTAGTACGGTTAAGGAACTAGTCCCTGCCATGTGGCCCTAGAAGGATGATTTAGGACACAGGCAAGAGTAGACTATCCCTTAAAGGATCACTCCTCCCTTGTCTAGCGAATCGGACGGAGTTACGGAGGATGAAAATTTAGGAAAATTCAAGACCATGGTTCTCCCAAAGTTCTTGACCCATACGTCTAAGTAACTGGGCATAAGCCAAGGTAATAAAAGCTTTCGCCTTGACTTCCATATTAGAGTCAGGAGTACCTGTCATGCTAGGAATCAGGGACCTCCTCGCCAACTCCATCAGTCTGGCACCTTTCTCAACGACCGCATCCAAAACCAGCCTTTATCTGCGATGATAAACGAGAATGACTAGCTTGGTTCGAACGCTGCTACTGTTGCAAAGCGAAAATGGCGACAAAGCACACCTCACTGCTCGTTCCCATGAAATTCAGACGCCAACGTTCGCCGACGAGCCTCTGACGGGGAGCCTTCGTACGGGCTTCATCGCAATAGGAGTAGTCGCTCTCTGCTCGTGGATCGCCACGTTCTCGCTCATTTCCTTCCTAACGTACCGATTCATTTTCTGGCAGCATTACTACAAACGTCCTCTCGCGCAGAATCAATATGTCGTGCTCATCTATAACCTCCTTCTCGTCGACATCCAACAAGCGTCGGCGTTCTTGATCTGTCTGCATTGGGTCTCCCGTGGCGGCGTAAATTACCCGAGTGCGGCATGCGTTCTCCAAGGGTGGTGGATCCAGACCGCAGATCCAGGAAGTGGTTTATTTGTGTTGGCCATTGCGATACATACTTGTTCAGTTGTGCTACGTGGGCGGCAATTGCCCTATACAACGTTTATCTGGTGTGTCGTTGCGCTCTGGGGTTTCATCCTTCTGCTCGGATTCATTTCCGTCGGATTGTATGGCTCGAGGACCTTTGTCATTTCGGAAGCCGGCTGGGTGAGTTCCTCAGAGCCTACCTTGACGATGAATGAAGATTGGACGTACTGACTGTATCTAGTGCTGGCTCAGTCCAAAAGCAACAGCTGAGCGGCTCTGGGGACACTATTTGTGGATTTTCCTTGCCGAATTCGGCACCATCATTTTGTACGGCGTCATGTTTTTCTACCTCCGGCGTCAGATGAAACAAGCAGCGGCCCTTCGACAAAACCATAAGGAAAGTCTTAACCGATTGAACCGAGTCGTCGTATACATGGTTATCTATCCTCTGGTCTACCTCGTCCTCTCCCTTCCTCTGGCTGCGGGGCGAATGTCTTCGGCCAGAGGAGTCGTTCCCAGCAAGGCATACTTTGCCGTTGCCGGTGCCCTCATGGCTCTGTCCGGACTTTGCGATGTCATTGTGTACACAGTGACCCGCCGGCATCTGCTACTGGACACCGAGGTCAGCACATCGGACCGTTACTACGCACACACCGGCTCGAATCTGTACAACAACACGCACGTCAGCACCACCGTTGTGGGCCCCGACAGCAAGAAGTCTCGGGCCAAGTCTCGTCTCCGCCGTGGCTTGCAAGGTATGAACGATACGGTGCTCGATGACCGAGGCGACTCGACGGAAGATATTGTACAGAAAGGCGACATGGAGCTCGGCCATATGGGTCACGGAGTATACCAGGAAACGACTATTGAGATCACACACGAAGCAGCAGAGCCACAGGACGCCTTACGGAAGCCAAATCGATTCAGCAGATAATCGTCCTACTATCTTTCATTTCAATCACTTCTTTCCTTTGCTACTACAATTTAATCTACGGAGATCTTGGATGACCATGTATATTCGAACCTCAGCCTCAACATATACCTACTGTTTATGCCTCAGCGAATCCTCCTCCCCTGCTTCGAGCGAGATAATGAGATCTTTAGGTATTAATTGCATATGTTTTTCTCAGTCAGCGGAAGACAAACTACCGCTAGACAAAGCCGAAACCAGGAATCCAGACCAATCGGCCACCGACCGAAACGCTGCTTGAAAGAACTGCCGGCAGCAATCTAAAGCAGTCGAGCGGGGCAAACCCCAAAAGTGAAACCTCGTATTAACGACTGGCCACAATCAATGGTTGGCCATTCCGTTATGAAGATCTACAATCCAGCCCCACTTGATGGAAGTTAGCCGTAGACCCACCGCTGGACGTGTGCATGTGCAGCAGCATCTGTTGTTCATTAGTCTCTCAGCGTCACTTAGGGTTCAGGAAGATCTTTGTAGCTTTCAGAGATTTAGTTTTGAAGTTGTCTATGGTCTACCCTCTAATGGGGAAACCTCTTATTGAGTACAGAGGGTACTCCGTACCTGACTCGAACCCGTGATCGCTGATCGGTTTCTTGACTCAGGTGATGGCCGAAGCCCTAAGAACATCAATTGTACCGCCCTACAAGAACATAGATATACAACCTTTGGGGTAGAGTAGAGGAACGAAAACTGACGCTATAGAATACTGTCTATGGTGACAAGCCAAACTCAACTCTGAGAATTAAAGAGACAGACTTCTGGTTCAGTTTCCTACGCCTTTATTATTCTCCTCAAGCCCCGCTGCCAACGCTGATGCAAGCTGGTATTGTAGCTCATCAATATCTTAACTGCAAGACAGAATTCTTATACTCTCGTTGCTGCACGTTGTTGCTTCACGTGTATTATCCGCCCAACGTCTCTGGCAGAGCACTCTGCCGCCGTCGAGCGTTGGAGACCCTCCACACAGATACTTTACTATGCTCCGACCTGTTAACAGGAACTTCAAGAGCACTTCTGGCAGTTAACCCGGCCGAATTTGACAGGAAGAATGTCCAGCATCTTACCTGAGCCCTCTGCAACGTACTGATGTAGAGTATTTGAAAGAGAATCACGCTAACCAGTCCATAAGTTACAAGGATGCTACCATGATAAGAGGAACTATCTCAGGATCGTTTATCGATCAAGCAGGTCATACTCACAAATATTCCAGAACCACTGTGCAAATTCGACATCAACTAGGTGCGCAGAGTACAGATTTACATGCGTACTTGGTGTTGCGGAAGAGAAAACAGTTCATTTCTCTCATATGAAGCTAGATTCGAAACTCAAAGCGGCGCGAATTGATGGCATACTCGCAAAACACCAAGAGGGAAATGTAATTGCAGGGGAATAGAGGTAGCTGAAATGGAAGCACCAGTATAGACAGAATAATGTAAAAACAAGTAGAATCTTCCCTTCCGGGGGCCACTTCAGTATTGCCTCGCCCTTCCTCCAGATTCTGCGATTAAATTTGGAAAACAAAGACCGTCCTCTTTCCTTTTCCTTTTTCTTCTTCCCTTAGGTTAGCCAGGCAGCCCCGGACCGGAGCCCGGGGCTGCGGCGCGAACATGGGCTCGGCGGTTGAGGGCCGGGATAGGTAGTATGGGGCTGGCAGGGATGGCGGCTTTTACGACACAATCAATCCGTGATTGCTCATCTTTCGGGACTGTGGGCATCGACAACTCACCCTGCCCAAGAGCTCCCCACCCATGGTGGGGAGAGGACGAGGAGGCCTTAAACACCGCACCTAATGCCTTTTTAGGCCGTGGTAGATGCTGAGCGAGCATCGCGACAGTCCTGTGTTCTGTCCCTCCAAGAACTTGAACTCGCTCAGGGAAGAGAGAAGTCACAATATGTGAGAGCTCATCCTGATCATATTGTTGAAGAGCTCTGAGCAGAGAAGCAGATTCGGGGATATCACCTGCATCTGTTGCAATGGAGAAGGACGTTCTAAGATCTCGGCGACCCTGACGCAGAACCTCCCCATATTCTCCACTATATGCAGGGCCCCCCACCCCCCGTCGTGGGAGATATACTCTTCTCATTGATTGTGTGTCCATTGAAAAATCACACAGGATTTTCGCCCCGACGGGGGGAGGGGGCAGGCCGTGGAGGACCACACTTGGCCGCTGTAAATCCACAGTTAGACGATACTCAATAATCGGACTGTTCAATTTCGAAGATCAATCACTTACATGGCCAAGGGGAGGCGGGGAGAAAAGAGGGGGGAGCTGGTGTTCATTATTAGCCACAACTTGCTCTGCGATATTCAAGACTCAACTTGGAATGACTTACGAAGGGGGTGGGAGGACCCGGGGGCCACTGGCCCTGTGATTCATCGTTAGACACTCACTTGCTCTGCCATACTCAAGATTTCACTTAGAACGACATACCTGCCGGGTAGGCGCAGCGGCTGAGCGACAAATATCATCATTCTTCTGAAGAAGAATACCACTGCCGAACGCTGGGGCCGTGGTGGTTGCAACAAATGGCCTCCGGTTTCGCCTGAGGGCGTTTATCGAGTCTGCTAGGCCAGGCTAGGCCACCACCACGGCCCCGACGGAAACCTCCACCCCCGGGGCTGTCCGGACGGCATCTGCGCCTGTAGCATCAGATGTTAGTGAAAAGAGGGTTTCCACGTGTATAAGGTAGGGTGATGTACATACCGCGAGCCTCCGCCGAATCACCAGCTCCGCCGCCCCGGCCTGGACACACTGCCAGGCCATGTGGCCGCGCTGGCCACAAACGTAGCACGTATGGTGCTTCTATAATAACTTATGTTAGCCTAGTCTGATGTAAAATATGAATGAGCATAAGCTTGTTCAAATTCGCCAGCAGCGTTGTCTCGCGTTTTGCGGTGCATAGCAAGCCACTCTGTTTGAGAAAGAAGAATATCTAGAAGCTGTAGTACTTACTCTGGCCATTGTTTCTGCTGTTGTTGCTGTAGTTGTTGTTGTTGATGTTGTTGTTGGCTGCTGTCGCTATTAATGACTTGGAGAACTAAAGGTTGGTCATCGTCAACTAGGGAGGGGTCGAGCCACTTGCGACTTCTTACTTTGTAAAAGTTTTTTTTTTAGAAAAAAGAAGTAAGAAAAATGGCCGAGTACCAGGCTACTGCCTGATACAACGGCATCGAAGCCAGAAAGCAGGATCCGTAGCCGGTCACGGAAGCCACAATCATCCTTCGTCGTATAGGGTAAGGACCCCTACAGACAGGGGATGTTCTTGACAAAGGGGAGCAAATGCTTCTTCAGAGGGAAGAGGCCCCTCAAGAAAGGATTTAAAACAGAGTCTTTGAGACTGGAAAAAGGATGGATAGCAAAAGTGGAAATATGTAGAATAGAAAGGAGAGTTAGAAGGGGGGAGATCAATCTATTTATGCTGCCGGTTCTGAAGTCTTACATGACTCTTTCTAGTATCTCTATTCACTGTTATAGGCTCTAAGGGCCAGTTTAGTGAATATAAGCTGTAGATTGAATAGGAGCGCTCAGTTGTACCTCTAAGAGATGTGAATATTGAAACATATATACATTGATATACTTAAGTTATTCACTTTCTAAGTATTTCAAAAGATGAAAATACTTTCTCTTTCCTATTCTCTCTGCTTCCTCAGCTAGTAGTGGATATTATACTTGAGTTACCACTACATCTACAATGCTTGCCAAGTTATAAACAATGCCAGGAGCACACTTAGGTCTCACTGCCAATGTGTCAAGAGCTGTCTCCTCTCCAAATTTCCCATATTCTGTAATCAAAGTTGCTTTATAGATAAGGATGTGCTTTTGCCCTTTTATGATATGTAACAAGGCATAGAACCAAGGTTATAATCAAAGTAATATCGAAAGAATATAGTTGTGACAATGTCAAGTCGTCGATCAGGAACCATAAGAGTGAATCCCAAGGTTCAGATCCAGTCGTAAAGGCTGTTGACAGATAAGCAGTAGTCTGATGCTTAACTTTCAACGAGCAGTTATCCGGCTTGTATGGAGAGGAGGGCAAGGGAAGGAGGGAAGCAGGGGGGTGAAAGTGTCACGAAGGTCGAGGGAGACTGACCACCAGTGGCAGTACTTTCTCTACTCAGCAACATTATATTGACACCTCCCACTTCTGCGGTTTACAATTCTAAGGGATAGTAATATCAAGCAAGTCTCCGTCCTTACGCTTCCCCCACTCCTCGAATCCTCGACGAAGAGACTCCGTCAACACAGGATCATATCGCATCCCATCCTCCGGGAAGGCCATTCGCTTCGTCCTCCACGTCAGCCAGTTCTCCGCTCTGGCACCCTCAGGGGCGTGGAGAAGCCCTATCGCCACATCCACGATGTCCTCGCGTCCATCGCAGTCGTAAAACACTGTCGCGCCGCAAGTACCGCAAAATGTCCTCCGCACTCCTTTGCTGGAGGCATAGCCTTTGGACGAACCGAGGAGTAGATCGTCCGGAATCGTCGGCGTGATGAGTTTCTTTGGGATAAACGTCCAGCCCATCACATGAGCCCCGTCTGTAAGCCGGCACGTATCGCAGGCATCCAGACAGGCGATCCATTTCGACTCATCGACGGGGGAAACCCACGTGCGTCTCATCTCTGGGTCGTCGAGGATTTCCTGTGTTGGGCGGGAGATATGGAATGATACACCTCCGCAGAGGCATTGCGCGAGTAGTTTTCCATCGATTTCTTGTGGATGATCGATTGTGTCGTCTGGCGGATTCCACACTGCCATCTCCTTCTCCCCAGTCCGTGGTAACCACTCCGCTAACCCGCCATCCAGTGTAGGTTCGGTATATATATGTCTTTTGATATCCCAGATCCCAGTATCATCGCGATTGGCGTCGAAGATGGCCGTTGAGATCACCCAGTCACCAGTTTGAATAAGTTCACCCCCAATTTGGCAGCCACATGTACTGCAGAAGTATCTCCTTCCTTCCGACCCGGGCCGGAGATACGGAGTCATATTTGCCATGCTCGATGGTGCTATGAAATCAGGCCTTATGCCGGATGGAAGAGGGGCATGGAAGACACAGAGAGTTCCACGTTGGTGCCGGCAGATGTTGCAGTGGCAGAGGTGGACTGGTAGGGGAAGGGATGTTACAGGGATACTGATATTGAAGTGCACTGATTTGCAGTGACATTGTGCAGTTAGAATCTTCGTTGCAGTCGACATTTTGGTTACGAGACTTGCGATGGGGGTGTTTTGGAGAATGAGGGGTTGGACAATGACGGGAAGACTTATATGTCTGCTATCAGGTGACCTCGTGTCGAGTCATCGCTTGCTTCCGGGATATATCAAACAGGATTAATTGTCCGCATATAAGCGGTGTCTGGTATGTATCCCGCGTTATTATTGAGTCGGTGACTGCGCCTGAAGCATTTAGCGTGCCTGTCACCAAGCCCTAAACGGTGCCCGACATGTACGGCATGGGAAGTAATTCCTAAGTATCCCCCCGCCCAACTATGTCAAATTTACATTTAATTATAGAGCAGTCGAGAGTATCAATATTCAGATAAATCCAAAATCATTACTGAAGGTTTATTAACTGATAGAGTCAAAATTCATGGAAGGATCGTCCCACACCAGATCGTCAAACCAGTTAAGAAAGTCTTGGCTTGTCATTGCGTCAGGTTGCGGCTGGACCATCCCAAGGTAGCCGTGGCTTGCAGGACCAGGATGAGATAAACTCGACGAATGCTGATTTGCCTGCTGCTTTCCAGGTTGAACTGCCTTCTGAGATGAAGGTCGCCCCTTGTTCAGTGTATCATCCAAAAGAGCACCAATGACTTTGCTAATCTGAACACAGACGAGAAAGTCAGGCCGATCGGGGAAACATTTGTGCTCGAACCATGCCAGTAATACACTCAAGTCGCGGATGATACTGGCGCAAGGAATAGTGGTTTGTAATGGAACTCCGCGAAGAGTGCTATGATGAAGCTCGGTGGCAAGGGTCCCAGCACCTGGAAGGCCGTAGAAAAGGAACTAGCGCCTGGTGTTAGTTTGCAGTCAAGATGAGCGGAGAGAACACACCATCCATGTAAATCGCTCGCGTAATTCAGGATAGCAATGCTGCTGTTGGACGAACTCAAGTACGCCTGAAAGCAGCTTCGCTGATGTTGCCAGGAGGCAGGTCTTAGTCATTTGACCATCTTCAGTGAGCATGCGTTCTATCAAAAAACCGCTGTAAAGATAGTCTAGATGGACAATCAAAAGTGCCACGCATAATTGGGGGTTTGACCTTTCCCAGACGCTTTTGTTGTAGCGATAATGCGGTGGGATCTTTGACCATGCCTCCTGATACTCTCCGTACAAAGTCCTGCGTATCTGTTAGGTCGGTATGACGAATGGCAAACATGACATACGAGAGCATCTCCGAGAAAGTCCTCGTTCTGTTCCCCAATGACAGGCGTAGAATCTTCTCGCGAAGGTGAGCTTGGTGGTACCGAAGTCGAATCAAACTAGCTGGCCGGATGGGCTCATCCACCCCGGCAGGGCGCTTCCACCCATCTCGATCAAGGGCTTGCAAGGCCGTATCAAGTCGGCTGCCCTCAAGCAAGACCTCTTCATCATCTAGATCGAACGGGGTTGGCAAGTCACAAAAATCGCAATCTATCCGTGGAGCCCTTCCAAGAAAAGTAGAAAGACTTTTGTCCTTAGCCACGGCCGACGCAAAGATTCTCTTACGAGTCTCCAGGATGAAGAAAGGAACATCAGGTGGTGAGGACATGAGTCGATGGAAACCCATGACGAATAATTCGGCTGTGAACTCATTCGCTCGGTGGTATAAAATGTTACCTGCGACGCTGTGAGCACTTTCAAGCCTGGAAGGCGAGGGAGCGAGGACCATACTTGCGTCTCCAAAAAGAATTGATGCTAAAAGAAAATTCATATACCGCGACCAAACGGTAAGATCGTTCACCTGATTGTATTCCTCACAGATTCCCATGCAGACCTTGCTGGCAGCGTACAATTCTGCAGCGAGGTTTTGCTGGCTATAAAAGACGGAAACCCCTGCGAGAGCAAATATGAGGCCAATAAACTCCAGTCGAAAATTGTCAGCACTGAAATATCCAAGGAAGTCAGCCACCGTTGTATGAGCCGAGAGGGATGGAAATCTCTTGTGTAGGTTTCGTCTGGCATTTGCAAGATGGCTATCCAAAAATGCTTCTTCATTCTGACTTGCACTCAACTCTCGAAGAAGCGTGGAGATCGGGTCAAGAACCAAAGGTCGCGGGATGACGGTAAAACGACCGCTATCGTAGTATTGAAGAATGAGTTGCTCTACACATCCCGAAGAAGCCAACAATTTTCTGAATGTTTGCTTCACGAAATCGAATGGCCAAGGGTCCATGTCCCGGCGATGTGCTGGTTTGCGAGAGATGACAGGTGAGAAACTTGGACATATAGAAAGGATACTAGAAGAGCCGACATATCCCGACGGACTCAGATCAGGACTTGCACCTTCTTCCTCAAGGCTCAGGCGTTGTTCTCTTATAGTTATTGGATTTCTCGGTTGTTTCTCAGGCGATGGGCTGCTCGAAGGTCGGCCAGCATTCTTGTCGACGCGGTAGTACCGATATTTTGTTTTAGGACGAGTCATCGGAGCTGGATGATAGAAGCACTATAGAGCATGAGTTCGACTTCCACAAGCATGAGGGTGTATACCTTTTCTGAAATGCCACGAGCCCTGCATCGTCCGCAGACCGGTTCATGGTCGCAGCGGATTTTAGAGATCCGACAGGGCTCACACGACGTGGGTTTTCCATTCCGTCGATACATGGAATCCTGAGTTTAGATATCAGTATTTAGAAAGTAAGAGAAAACAGTCGCCTTTCTGATGGACGAGGTGAAGAAGAACCAGAGTGCTCTAGTACATTGGATCGCACGTAACTCAGTCCGATTTTACTCCGACACTACTTACCCAAAAAGGAAATTCTTATCCGAGGACAACAGTTGCTTGAGTCCGTCCACTACCAGGGATTCCTCAATATAATGCAGAATCATATTAGCTCTCCTGCTCCAGTCACTGGCATTAGAGAGCAAGGTGAGGAGATCTTCAGATGGATCATATCCCAATTTGGCGCGTCTGCCCTGTGAACTACTTTTCTGCGTACAACGTATACAGAGAAATCCGTTCTAACCACTAGCAACTTAGGAAGACAGATGCTAACAACACTGTATGGTGTTCTAGGTGAACATCACAGTCACTTGAGTATGATGGTATCTTTTCCGGCAAGCTGCTTTAGCTATAGTCATATGGGCTGAAGAGGGATATCGGTACACAATACAAAGTAGTAACAGTTTTCTGATCATCATTCTAAAAGCCGGATGAATTCTTGAATAAGCCAGCGTTGCTGCAAAGTTCTCACTATCTGCAGCAAACTCAACATACAGCATATTATTCCAGGCGTAGTTGCAAAGTATAGGTGGTTCCATATACCTTGCCCAGGCAATCGAACCAGCCCCAGCTTATTAAGGACAATGATAGCGACCTCCAGAAGCACGGCAATTGTTTCTGCTTGGGAATTAACAATTCAAACCTCGACCACTATTCGGCACTGAGTCATACCTCCATTGGCAGTGGAAACAGGCTTTAGCCCGAGGTTGCCAATATATGTTTACGGACCTCCTACCCGTAAGTGATTCTTTGGTCGCCCTTTACATAAATTAGCAAAACATTGGTGGTATACTTAGGTAGTAAAATCACTTACATTAGGGTTCCTGAAAACTGAGTAGTCGTCAAAGAACTGACGGTGTCTTCGTGACTGCAGTATCCCCAACCATCTCGCTCCCCAAGTCGAGTCAGCATAGTGGCCGTGATGGCGAGCACCTCTCCGCGTAGAAGACAGCTATGTTTCCCCTCATAGTCATGTGCCATAGTGAACATGTCATGAGGTTGGTCCTTTGTCTTGCCTGATTGCCAGGCATTCTGGGGATGCCAATGCTGAGAATGAAAGACGTCGTCAAGAAAAGCGCTATGGAAAATTCCATCAGCGAAATCACTAAATGGAGCAGTAAGCATCTCAGCCATCGATCGCAACTGCAAGATGTAAATATAGGGGATGAGTTTCATACGCTCGCTTCCATCCAGTGGTCTGTTGTCTTTCTCTCGTGTGTATCGAAGGCGAGTTGCAATGCGTTGCACATTGCTCCGGCTAGCCCGAGAGGATGGAGTTCGTCGCAGAGATCCTGCTCATTTGAAACCGACAGATCCTTCTGGACACTAACGTCGATCATGGTCTGTTTGTCACTGCAGTCGATCTCGTATTCCTGTAGCTTTTCGTGAGGCATTTTGCGAAAGAATTTAGTGGCATATGGCGCCTCGTCAAAGGACGACTCTTGAAGGAGATTGTGACACTCGATGCCAAACTTAGCAAGAGATGCTGGACCTAGGTATGGATCTTCTACGTTCGACACAAGCTTCCAGGTGTCGTGAAGTCCGTCCACATACGCGTCACGCTTTTCTTTGTAGAGTGGGTTGACGTACGCATGGTGCTTTTTCTTGCCTGGCTTTGCCCAAAAGATCGAGATTCAGGAAGGACATACTTGCTTTGAGACAGTCCATCATGGTACTTTATAGCTATGTCAAAATAGCTGGAAAGTGAATGGGAATATGATTTAAACGCATCTGAATATAGGCTTTTATTCACAGAAAGTAGAATCGTCATAGTGAAGAGAGAGTGACTCCGCTATTTCTGTGGTTGCGGACAAACTTAATCATGCCTTACAACAATCAGTTGCCTGAGCGCGCGCATAAGGATCAGGATGCTGTCTTCTTTTCATTATATACAGTGTTTTCATCCCTATCTAAGTACTAAATTTCGGTTCACTGGAGACCAGGTAGATAGAATAGACACAGCTGCTGGATTAGTACCTAGTAAGTTGCTGACTGTGATCTGCACTGTTATTCCCCTACACTACAAATGGCGTCTAGACAGGTCCTTAGCTGAGCGGTTTAATGGTTGACCTGTAGACATCACTAGGTCCAAAACCTTCTCCTGCATATTGATCTGCGCCCAAAGGCCCCTAAAGCCCAGCTGAAGCCCCGCAAGCAAGCCACAATCACCATCTACTGAAATATACCACCACTAGCGGCCGAGAATGCGTGCAGACAGACTATTTTGTTATTCTAACGCCATCACTTCTGAATAGTGGGCATCGTGGAGGAACGTACATATTCTGCGCAACACGTCCGAGCAGCCAATCATTAACCGCCAGCATGGGGACGCTGAATTGCTTTTTCAGGACGGACAGACTCGATAAAAGCCCCATTCCCCGAGTCGACGGAGTATTGTACCTGGAAACGCATCTACCATTCTAAACATCACCGATACTCCTAGCCAGCATGTCCGATTTTCCTAATCTTTCATATAACTATCTCTACTCAGATCCTCCAGATCCAAACGAACAAGTGCCCCCACTGTTCTTCAACAGCCTACCCTACCGCAAATCGCGATTCCATGAAACGGCCACGTCTACATCGCTTGACGTAATCAAAAGAGTCGCTGAACACTCGTCAGAGTCTGCAGAGTCTCTTCTCCGGCGAGGATGTATCGCTTCCACTGGTCATATGATCTCGTGGGCTGCGCCCGAATTGCCACCTGCGTTGATACCGCTGACGACTGAGATGTCCGAACTGCTTTTGCACTATGACGGTAATCAAGCCTCCGTTTATTGAGCTACATGTCCTTATGCCTATAGATGAGATTGATACGCTTGATGCACGAAGAGTAAGATTCCTGTGCCTTCTTTAACGGGCAGGCACTGATGATGAGTAGAAAAAAGACGCCCTGGCTGATTTCACCCTGACCGTCCTGTCGATGTGGAAACTTGGTCAACCGCCAGTGTTCGAGTATGACATAAACAAGCGATTTGAATTGTTGTTGAATAATGTATCCGACTTCTCGCCTGATGTAAGGTCGCTGTTCTTCAGAACGACGGTGGATATTTTTACTGCTCAGTCGACGGGCAGCCAGTCCGGGATGTCGTTTGAAGAGTACAAGAAAGCTCGGATGGCGAGTTCCACTGTCAAGTGAGCCGATGCCTCTAACTTGCGAGTCTGACTTGATGCTAATCTGGATTAGACAAGCGCACGAGTTCCTTACTTATAAGCAGGGCCTGCGGCTGACAGAAGTCGAAAGGCAGGCCGTCTCGGAAATGGTCGATTACGGTGTTTTGAGCGCATCCCTGTCAAACGACTACTATAGCTTTCATCGAGAGTTTGACGACCAGTTTCGTTCAGGAAGCCTTGATGCGATGCACAATGCAATGGCGCTGCTGATGACTGAGTATGGATATACCGAGCTTGAAGCAGGAAATATCCTGAAGTGCGAGGTACTCGCCGCGGAAAAGAACCTGATGGAGCAATACAGACAATGGGAGAAGTCGTCGGTACCCAAGTCGGATGATTTTCGCTCCTACGTCATTATTTTCATTCTATCAATTGGCGGAGCAAATTACTGGCAGGCTCAAACTCCCAGATATAGCGACGATGGGTTTACGACCACTACCGAGGATCGAGCTCGGCTGCTTCAACCGCGACGGGACCCGGTCCTTAAACTAGAAGGACATCCGCCTCCAGCAGCACTCGATGAGAGCCAGAAAAAGTCTGTGAATGGAGAGAGTCATGAAGCAGGTTGCCTGGGACCCAAAGTTGCAAACGGCACTGTCTTGGAAGTCGATGTTTGCGCACCTTTTCAGGTTGCCGATGCAGACCAGGTTGGTTTTTCACGTCATCTGCTGCCAATAGCTAATGTATCAGATTTGTATGGCTCCGTTCGACTATATAAAGGCACTTCCTGGCAAAAACACTTTGGCCAAATTCATCAATTGCCTACGAGTGTGGTTCAGTATACCAGATAATATCTCTACAGTCATGAGAGAGGTCACGGTCATGCTTTTCAACTCCACACTATTGTATGTATACCCAACCAGAACAGTTAACTCGCTAATGATGCAGACTCGATGATATCGAGGATGGCTCAACACTTCGCCGTGGCAGACCCGCTGCCCATCTCAAATTCGGACTCAGTCAGACCGTCAACACCGCCACCTTTTTGCATGCGGAGGCTGTAGGCTCTACTCTTGAGCATCTTGGCCCTAATTGTTTGAAAGTAATACTAGGTAAGTCTCTCTATCCCATGGTCGATACTCTATACTAATATGATTTTCTAGAGGAGATCAAAACACTTGCTCGTGGCCAGGCGCTAGATCTGAACTGGACGTTCAACAAGACTCGTCCGACTCTCAATGAGTACTTCATAATGGTCGACCATAAGACTGGAGGCTTTTTTCGACTGTTACTACGTGCCATGTGCTCTCTGACAAGCAGTGAAGTGGACCCTGACCTGCAACATCTGATTACCCTCATTGGGAGATATTATCAAATCCGCGATGACTATCAGAATCTCGCGTCTGATGAGGTGGGTTATTCCAACTCAACTTATCCCCCAAGACTAACGTGGACTAGTACACCGCGAAGAAAGGATTCTGCGATGATCTAGACGAGGGCAAGTTCTCGTTTCCGGTCCTCCACTTGCTCGAGCATAGTCCGAAGGCGGACGAACTCTTCAAGCTCATCTACGGAGAGGACAAGAAGGCGCAGATGCCGCATGCGGACAAGCTACGTATTCTGGCCGAGATGAAGGAGTGCGGGAGTCTGACGTATACATTGGAGGTGCTAGAGAAGCTGTTCACTACAATGCTTGAGACGCTGGACAGAGTGGAGGAGAAGATGGGCAAGAACAAGCCGCTGAGATGTCTGATGCTCATGTTGAAACTATAACTTATATACATAATTTATCAGCCTCGAAAAGCAAAATGGAAGTCAGACTACTAAAGCCCCGGACGCTCATAATACTCCTCAAACCTCCTCTGAATCTCGGCTTCCTGTGAGGCTATCGCAGCACAATACACCGTCTTCATCAGAACCCACACAACAACCGCAGGAATCAGAAACACCACGGTCCAAGCAAACACAAACAGATGATCCAACAGCGGCGGGTCATCTGCAACCTTCTCCCTATCGCTGATAGTCCTCCATTCCTCCCCAGTCGACCAGGGTCCATCCACCTTTCGCCGCGGCCCTCGCGCGATCCATACACAGACCTCGACCCCCACTCCTAGTATCACCAGAGCAGCGATCACCTCCGCCACCCACGCAAACGTAAAAGGCGAAATAGGCGGATACCCAAACGCCAAGAAATACACCACACAAGCAACCCCCAGGATAGTCAAACACATAAGCTCCAACACGCGGCGGCAGAAGAGGCCGCGTTCACGCAGAACGGCCATCACCACCGACCCCAGAAGCATCGGGAAGAGTACCACCAAAGTAACCCTCGTACCCAGGGAGACGGCAAACATCACCCAGCGGGGTCTCATGATCCACCMGGTGGCGAGGACGGTGATTGTGCGTAGATTCTGGTGGCCCAGGTACAGGAAGACGAGAGCCTCGAGGGTCAATGACAGGTAGGGCTGTGCGCTCTCTAGTACATGGAATAGTTTGAACAGGCGACAACGTGTGTGCGCGCAGCAGAGTCGGGGGTCGACAGACTCGTGGTGTATGACTTTGCGGAGGTAGAAGTCTTTTGCTGCGGTCATGCGGCTGCGTTCTGCCTCGTCGGGGCTTTGGGTCGTGATGGAGACGAATTTCTCGATGCGCGCGCAGAGGGGGAGAAGGGCCTTTGCGTCTTTGGGGTCGATGCTCTGTTCTGCGATGGCTTCATTCCCCTGGACGGGGTTCTGGTCGGATTTGCTGGGTTCAGCGGGTGTTCGGGTGCTGGACAGAGTGATGAACGGTACTTCGGGCCAGGTTGTGTGTACGACTATCCTTGTCTGCGATGGGCGGTAGTATCTTGCCAGGAGCTCGAGCAAGAGGAATTTGGATACCAGGCAAGTTGCCCATGTTGTCGCCCACCAGACCTGGACAAAGTAGACCAGACTGAGGTAAAGCGGGAGGGTGATCAGGACGAAAAACACCCATCGGGCAGTAACGTAGCTATTCCGTGGTCCTCGTCCGAGGCCGCTCATCACGTAGGGCCCACCATGACTCTGGAATTCCTTCTCTGAGGCGATCCATAGAGCTGCCGGAAAGTCCGCCAAGTTGGATACCCTGCACCCGAGAATTCCAAACACATTGCGCAGAAACCAGAAAGCCCCTGTGATGGGTGATATAAATGCGGTGTTGACTTTCAAGTCATCGATGAATGAAACATGGCCGGCCGGCTGGAAGAGCACACTGATCGATGTGCAGAGCAAAGCGCAGAAAATGTGCCATAGTGGGAGGGCACTGTCTTGAAGACACATGTTGCATTCTCCTCCAAGCTGAGGTTGGCCGTATCCATGGTGGGATTAAGTATTCCTGCTGAGCCGCAGACCCTGACGCTGCTTAATTTGCTTAGCTTGGCGTTCATTTCGTATAAAACATGGCCGGGTTCTTTATTGGACGGAAGTTGGTTAAGCGAACGGGAATAGCGCCACGTTTTCCCAGAACGGAAACATGGCTTCTGAGGCCCCGGTCCTACCCGCTGATTGGAGCATTCGCATCGGTTACTTTGCCTATTCACCGTCTGGCTTTATTGTCTCAGCCTCATCGTTTGAATGGGTCCCCTTACAGAACAACGAATGGCTGAGTGAATATGTTGTCTTTGGGTCATTCACGTGCTTCAGCAATATAATCTTCTCCATTTCTCTTCTTCCTCTTCTACCTTCTTCAACTCTCTTCTTATCTTGTCAGCCATTCAACTAGCTACAGCTGCCCTTTTCTGGGTATCATTCTTGCGGCAGACCTTCTGGGAAGGGATGTGCTAGAATTATTTATAAACCTCGCAAGCTGCAAGGACATCAAAGATGGCTTGGGGCTTTACTAAAGCTTGATGAATCAGCGACATGATAAGCTCTCTAGACTGAGCCAACGGGTCTTGCTACGGGACAGACGATACTGTCGTGGCCGAGCATGTTAAGCTTGAGAAGGAGCTTATCTTACAGGCAGATGAGCTCTACGTGCCCCCCTTCGTCACCGGGTTCAGGGTCCGTTTTGCTGCTAGCACAACCAGTCTATGTGAACAAAGACGAACTTTCGATCTGCGCCCAGACTTGGCTAGCTTTTCAGGCGGTGGGTTGTAAGAGCAGCTGCTCATTACAAGGTTAGTAAATCATCAAGGTCAGGTACACTGGATATTGTGCTGACAGGTTTGTAAAGCAGCGCTGGGTCTCCTCGACGGTCTTTGCAGCTAAAGGACACTTTTGCCCTGGGACCCTGCCCCAAAATGGCCAATCACGTACGGAGAGGATTTTGCAGAATCGGAGTACCTGACATGCTTGGGGAACGATGAGAAAAGATGCGGACAATCAGTATTACTGAAAAGGAAGAAGTGTTCCGAATTCCTGCGAGTCGCTTTGTTTCTTTATTTATCTTATAGGACGGTCAGGAAGTTGTACTTCGCTTTCGTCGGCCTTCTGCCTTTGCCTTCTTTTTTCCCTTGCCAACTGACTCTATGATCCTGAAGTGTGATATTGGTTCTTGCATCTGCAATAACATCGACCTGAATCAGGAGAATGATCCAGCCATAGCGGAGGCCTGTCTGTTGTGCCCTAGAGCCCCCTGTCACCTGCTGTTTTAAGGCAGCTCGTTGCACTCTACTGAATTTCTAAGGAAGTCCCTGACCGTCGACACCATTGGCTATCTGGAGTCGCGGCTGCATGGCTTGGAAAACGCAAGGCTGAGATGCCGCGCACTATTGTGCTATCGTCCTATACCAGTTGAGCGTTGAGGACTATGTGCGAGTCGGACCGCAAGGGTAAGCAGGCTGATGCAGCAGATGGATGGTTAAAAGAATCTAACTCATCCCGGCTTCGATCAAGTTGAAAAAGATTGGCAAATCAATTTTCGCTATTGCAATGCTGAACAGATCTGCCTAAGAAAGATCTCCTCCCACCTGAGATGCAGGGCACGGAGGTGACTCTGCCTGAGTTCACCAAGGTCCAAGTCATTGTCCGTGTGCCTAAGCGCTCAGGACCACCGACGGAATGGACGGCTAGTGGGTTCACAGTACCTGAATACATAGAGGACGAGGGATTTGGCGCCATTCAGATCGTCCTCTACGGTCCACGTCTCGGAAAACTCTTGAACACCAACCAGGACAAGACGGCGCCAGTGACGGCGATAGCAGCAACCCTAACGATGAGAACAAGCACACGATTAAACTACTAGTCAATATGCAAGAGGCAGACCCTGTGCACATCGGTCAGACTAGAGATGGCGACGCGACTGATTCTGGCGCCGACCGAAATGCCAGGGAGCCCAAGAGATTCGACACCCTAATGGCCAAACCATCCGGACCAAACATCATCAAGCGGTTGCACGGCTCGAGGCACGCCACGTTTGGTTTCTGACCGCAACGCCGTTGTATAATCGCACCGTTGACCTATGCGGCTTGTGAATACCACTCTCTCGCCTACTCTCGCCTATGTCTCCGGAATAGGTTTAGTGCCGTACACTCCTCGCCTTTCTACTCACCTGTACGATAGCTTCATCTTAGAAAGCTTCTTAATTAAGTCATCTATTCGTTCTCACACGGCTATCTAGCGATCCTCTTCTCTGGGCTGCGAAGATCAGGGGTTGTCGACGACATTGCAGAGGATACGGACTGGCTGGCGGAGTACAGGGTGTTTGCGAGTATGCCATCACTGCCCTCGCCCTCCCTAACAGCTCCTCATGCCCAAAGTATTTGTTAGCCTTCTTACTCGGGGCCACCTTAACCCCAGCAACGCGTACTGGGTGCTCCCCGTCATCATGGAGATGATCTGCCTTCGGAGAGATATGGGAGGCCCGGTTGACTGGGCTGACGAGGGCCGCCTTATTGACGACGACATTTCGCCTAATGCGCATCATGTCAGTGATATCAGGCATCCTGGAAGGGTCCGTCGGGAGCACAAGCTGTGGTTCATCAACTACTCACGGTGATGGAGAGGACCACCAGCGCGTCCGACAAGGGGGCGCATCCTCTGTCACCTTTCCTTCAGCACAATGCTAGACGACTCTTTCTGGTTCCTATGTGTCTGGTTAGCAGATATGACAAGTCGCCGTATCCTCCTGCAGGCATTCCAATGCCCCTCCTACCGTCAACTACCATCGCGATCTATCCCGGCTTCTGCGAAGAGTTTTGACCAGTCTCCTAGATAAGAGTAGCCGGACCCTGTAATGGTCAGCATCGCGTTGTGGCGCGAAAGAGTCTCCTTGATTGTCGGCGAAATTTGACAGCCAAATCAGCTGTTGATGTTGATACCTTCCAATTTCTAAACCAACAAATGAGGTAAATTCAAATCATGGTCAGATTGTACATTTTCTAATAGGAATAGCTATACTACCGGTCAGCGGACGTGTGTGGGGAAGACCTTATCCAGAAAAAGGTGATGGCCTCCCTCATGGCGAATCGGCAAGCGATTCAAAGCCAAATACTGAAGGATTCAATGCTGCTCAGTCCACTACTAGGCTACAAGGCCTCTCGCCAGCTGGGAGGGAGAGCGCAACTCTTATTTTGCTGGCTCATACTGGTTCACTACTCGTCGTTTCTTCGTCAAAAATGGCTGCGACCAGCCTGGCAGGGACCTGCTACGACCCGGATGCGAGCTTCAACCTGGGACCATTCGTGAACTTGGAAGCCACTCAGACAACGGCAACACTCCGCTGTACAGAATTATGGCCTTTCTGCGTTGCGCGGAACGGAATATTGTTTTCAGAAGAAATCAAAATAGTCAGGCAGTAGTCTACGTCGGCCCTCTTATCATCAGGTTCGACGAAATATTGACTGCAGATGCAGTGCATTGGTGTTGTGACCCGTCCCTCGTCCCAACACTGCAGACTTGGACATGGCCCCTAGGCGCAGTGTGTGTTGCCAGGCTACCTCAGCAGTAGCTACGCCAACTGTCACTGCAACGGTGATGGCGCTTATTGCAGCTTCTGCCGTATATGTCTAGCAACTCGTCAAGTTCGACAACACAGTGACCGAACTTTCTGGTCAGATCCTTCTAGGGACACATGCAGAGTCTCATTGGTCGATTCTATCTTTGTTGATCTGTTTGTTTACTTGCGCTCGTGAACAGCGATCAGCAACGCTGAGGTCTTCGAGAATTTGATCAATCTGTGTTTCGATAAAGATCGCAGCGCCCGGAGTGTCTGACACAGATGGCTGCGACGGGAAGAGTGGATCGTCGTTGTATCGCTCCCAGACGTAAGAAGCAATCGGAAAATGCGAAAAACCACGTTAGCGGAAAGAACTAAATCGACAAAGATCGACTAGTAAGAAACAAAGGATTTCAAAAAAGACGAAGGAACGTCGCTGACCGAACCGGCGCAATTGAGGCTACATCCAGGACATCTACAATGATGACATGAATCTTCGGATAATCTGCGTCACACCAGATCAGGCCCGACTATGGAACTCCGTCAGGCATTCCAAGTGGATATGTCATTTCGCGATGCGGAACGAGAGGTCAATCATGGACTCACTCGTACCAGCTTTAATCAAATGGGTAATCTTCTTTCGTCTTCGAAAATAAATTGATCGAATGCTCGAAGACCTCAGCCGCCCGAATGTTACACGAGGGGGACGACACGATACGAGAACTTCCTGGATTGAAGCTCGTTCGTGTTTTCCTTTTGTGCTTTAGCTGCGTCAGGGCAAGCTGAGCAGATTGATGGGCTCCTGCATGGATGGGATGGAATTCGCTGCCTGGCAGCCGATGGGAGTACGGATCTGTAGGGCGTTCTGTCGTTAGTAACTGTGAAACCCTGGTATGCACCTCGCGATATAGCGCCCCAGCCGGATCTTAGTAATGAGGTCATCCGTGGGTTAAGCCCGCCAGTAATGGTATCAGCATACTAGCAAGATAGGAATGCAAGCTTCATACATCTACCAATAGGTACCAGAACCACCAACCTTTCTGGCCCAGGGTCTTTTGTCCTACTCTTGGTCGGAAGAAGTAGCCAGTTCTAGTCTCATTTCTCCAGGGTATTTCTATGGAATACACCAGCCTATACTCTGTATTTGACTCTCACTCGGTAATTCCACACAGGATGGCTTATTGGGATGATTGTATCAGGTTCTCTCGTCAAATCTCAGCTAACAGCGGCCAACTAGCGCGTCATCTGAAATGAAATGCTCCTGAAGGGTCAAGGAAGCGCAGCTTTGATCAGCGCGACACTATTTCGTCATGACAAAGCGCAACGGAGAGAAAGTGGTAATCGGGCTGAGGGTGAAGCCGAGGGAAGATATCTGGTCTCTGAGCTTTGGACGCTGAGTCGCTTACTGTATTCAACAGTGGAGGCCTCTAGGTCTACGCAGGTAGATGCCTCACCATTAGACACATTACTTGATACGGTACAATTCTCCCTCTCGAGGACATTTTACATTTGGCAAAGCCTACGAATGAAACTTGCGCATCCTTGCTGACATTCCAAAATTGGACGCTGGTAATAAGTATACGAACTATTGAAGGGAAGGCATATCCCAAGAACAACCTCATGGCCTCACCCTATTCAACTGCAAACACTCCAGCCTCACTCTAAACGCAAAGTTAACAATTGTAGCTCATCCGCAATCCAACACCAGGCCCCTGCGCAAACTCAACGCTAGTCGCCTGCTTATACCACCCCGCAATACTCAACCGATACGTCATCTTACTCGAGCACGAGAAACTATTAACAAACTTCGTCCTCGCCTGGTTCGGATCCGATTCGAAGGTCGTGCTACCGACCAACGCTCCGGTTGCCGGACAATATGCCCAGGACACATCGATGCCGCGAGGAGACCGGCTCAGCGGACCGTTCACCGCAAAGATTTCGACGGGCGCGGCGGCTCCAGATGTCGTGATCGGGGTGCCGGCGGGGAAGGAGTAGGAGAGCGAGCAGCCCCAGCTGCCGGCTGTGACGTTGAATTCGACGAACATGTCTTCTTTGTTGGTGCCGCCGGCTTGCTGGGAGATGCGGAAGCCGGGGAGGTAGGAAGCTACTGGCTGGGCTTGGGAGACGCGGGCGATGTCTGGGGTGACGGTTGTGCAGCTGGTGGCACCGGGCAGTGCGTTGATCAGAGGGACGAGGGAGAGGAGAGGGGTGATGTATGTGAGGAGGTGCATGGTGATAGCTTGAGATGGAAAATATGTGATATTGATGTTCTGATGGAATGCGTTGATGGGCTAGATGGTTGTTTATGGACATGCGGACTCTTATATGTTTCTGGAAGGAACAGCAGGCCCAATGTCCTGGGATCATAGCTCATCACATTGTGCATCCTGTAACGCAGATAGTATCTCGGCTTCTATCGGTCCCTTCAGCCATCTGAGTCTCGAGTCCATCCGAAATCGAAATGTCGCTTAGGCAGCGTTCTATATGGTGGTGTTTCAAGCATGCCAGATGGCACCCAAACGGAAGCATCTCCTCGAAAGTCAAACCATTTCAGCTGACTCGAGGATACCAGATCCGGAGATTTAACTGAAACAGATCCTCAAAAGCTGACATGATATACGTCAGGGCTGAGACATCTCTGCTTGGCCCTTCGTATTCCAGGGAGTCGCCGCACGTGTCGCTCGATTCCTCGCCCATGTCTCAACTGCACCAGTCATCTTTAATGGTATGATCACGCCCGGCATTTGGTTGGATTGTCAGTTTTGCTTTTGAGGATAAGGAAGGCTATGTCGATGCGTTGCCTGATTCCGCCATGTCCTATCGAATTGTGCACCAGCTTACATCTACCGGCTTAAGCAATAGCTCGTGATAAAATGATCAAACCACAACGTCTACTAATCCATTCAGCCACTGGTGGGATGATTTTGAGCGCAATAGTTAACAGACTATCCTAGTGGGATAATTGACCAGCTCAGATTATTTGTCACTGTAGAGGTTGCGAGTATAAGCATGGGACAGGGTATCCTGCACATGAGCACACAGAATCTATACAGTCTATCCCATTAATTCTAATATGCATAGCTTGGACCAGAATACTAGGCGGTATTAGATGGCGAGGGAACATTAAATCATTCTGCTACGAGTGGGGAGTAACTCGTCGAAGTGTTTCCCTTGTCCTAATGTATCGTCACCACAGACAATTCTCGATACACTTCTCTCAAAACCAGCTTTTGGATATCATACTACGAAGATCTGCTTGACTGTACGCTCTCATATAATTGAGATTCTCACGAAGGAAAAGCAGCGGGTCGTCATCCGCCATGATAGTCAAGTCCCCAAGGAGGCATCCTTGACTAGACGTTGCAATCGCGGTGCAGAAATGACTTGATATTTCAGCTTATACAGGGCATTCCTAAGTTGTGACCTCATTGCCATTGTGATGAGAGTGAAGATCGATAAATGTGCAGGTGCAGTGAAGGACGCTCCTTCCTTGGATGCCTGAGTCCGAAACAGGCACCTGCAGCAATGGCGAGATCATCATGCAGTCATTATACACACCTCTCAACACATCTTCATTTGCATCTCTCCTTTGGCCATCTCTTCCATCACCTTTATCCCTGACTACGAACGATATCACCACTGAGCTATATCCAAGATGGGGTATGTGAACAAACAATCCTCCACATCATCTACTAACAAACACCAGCTACACGCATTACTACCACATCGATAACACCTCCAGCCGCGAATGGAGAGCCGCCTGGCCCCAACTCGTCGAGGACGCCCAGAAAATCGTCGACAACTCCAGCGTTCCCATCGGCGGTCCCGACTTCGACGAGCCCGGCCCGCCAATCATCGACGTACAGCAGGGAATCCACCTCAACGGAGTCAGAGACGACGGATACGAGCCTCTTTGCTTGAACCGGCACGGGAACGCGGGGTTTACATTCGTCAAGACAGCCTATAGGCCATACGATGAGGTGGTTGCGTGCATCCTGCTCAGGGCGGCTGTGCTGGCTCCGAACTGTGTCAGCTTGAGGTGATTGTTGCAGAAGGGATGGTGTCTTGGAGTAAGCTGACGGCGTTGACAGTTCGGATGGTGATTGGGAACATGATTGGTCTACGCCTCGCCATTTGTATAGGGATTTGTGGGATGAGGATGTTGAGTGTCCTTGGAGTGAGACTGAGGTTGCGGATGACTGAGTGTCGCGCTGGGCCTTAAGGCAGGATGTTTGAGGTCATGCTAGACGGAGGTTTCAATAGATCCCGCATGCTGTTGCTAGTGATTAGTCTAAATTATAACTGCTTCGTTTCAACTATGCACTGTAGATTTTATAGAATTGTCGGCAGCTGAGGTGTCCTCAAGTGATGGCCCGGTCGTCCATTACTATCGACAATCCTATCGCACAATGTCTTTTATCCGTCTACTGTCATATCCAAATAAGTCCATCGTCTCTCTCTGTTCCTCGCAGCACCCTTGCTCAATGAATGTAGATACATTGGAGCCCGCTCTCATTGCGAGGCTCTCCTAGGATTTGACCAGCTGCTCGCACCGCGGTTATTCGTAATGCGCTGAAGCTGGCTGATCGATACTGTGTTTTGTGCTCGGACAGACAGAGTCTCTCGAGGCTGATCTCCAGGCCGTTCAATCTCGGAGAATCGATGTCCGGGATGGACCCTTTGGGATTCTTTCATACAGTAACAGCAGAGATCAAAGTCTGCACAGTCCATGCATTTGTACCGGATTCCATATACGCCCTGTGAAGTCAGTCGAAGCACAAGGAGATAAGCAGGAGACTCACCTCGCTACACCAGTCACAGTGCACTGCAGCATGCCAAACAGGCTTGTCCTCTTGAAAGCTATGGCCCGGATGCGTGCGCCTCGCGTTCTGGAAGCAATCGGAACAGTAGTCAAATCCAGGACAGAACTTGCATCGATATCGAGTCCCAAACACCGTAAGCCGGCATCCGTCGCAGACACAGTCCTTGTGCCAGGCTCCATTTTCCGGCTTTGCAATATAGACAACCCACATCCGCTGTCCTTTGACGACCTCCTCCAGGACCAGGATCCTGATTATTCCGTCGTTCAGATTGAGTCCGTAGTTCCTGTCTCCGATGTAGACGCATGCCCTCCGTTCATCCATCCAGTCATCTGCCATCTGCACCTCAAAGGCATTGGGATCGCGGGCTTTCAACCGCGCGTCGGTCATGAGAGACCCACCAAACTGGACAACGGGGTTGAGCATGGCGTCAAATCCGACGCGCAGGTTCACGACGTAGTCCTCTCGCATGGAGTACCTGATAATTCCCGCAGTCCCTCGTTTCCCCGGAGGAATGCAGAGCTTGCGCTCCGTTTCGTCCCAGGGATGGTACGCCGTTACCTCGAATTCGGAGTGCGGGCCCTTCCAAACCGGGGGGAACTGGCGCAGCCAGAATCCGTACATGCGCCCCGGGGGCTTCGACGTCCCTGCAACCCTCTGTCTCACGTAGACCTTGCGATATTCGGACTTCATGTCTGCCGGAAAGTCTGGCAGATCTTCCCCCGCGCACATTACCCTCGCATACTGGTTGTCCTGCGGTAACGGGGCGAGGAAGATCCCCACCCGTTTCTTCCTGCTCTGCGTCTCGCAGTCCAGTGCCGCGAGGTACACGTCCATGGTCCAGTGCACAACAGCCAGCTCGATGCTGATCCCCATATTAGTCACTGCGAACGGACTGCGATTGAACCTCTGCTGCGACTGCACGAACTCGCCGCTCGCTTTAAAGTCAGCCGGCGATTGCGCCAGCAGACCACGGTAGCTATCATCGGCGCTCGAATTCGAACTCTTCCACGCAAACAGCGTCTGGTCATCCGACTGCCTCATAATCTCCTCCTGCAGCCGGATAAACGCCCGCTTCCCCTCCCCGTACAGCATCGGCATGTTGATCTCGAATAACCCCAGCAGGCTATACGCCATATCCTCCACCTTGGTCGTCACCCGCTCCGACGCCCAGGACATGCGCTGCGCGATACTCAGCTCTTGTGGTAGGAGCGTCCCGTCGAGCACCTCCTCTTGGATTCCGGTGATAGAAGAAATGATCCCCTTTAGTTTGGCCTTAGATCCGAGGGGTCGCCAATCCGCATTGAAGAATTCCACTCGTGTAGGCGCCAGGAGTTCTTGCAGCGTCCAGCCGCGCGTGAACCACACGCTGTCATTAAAGCCTCCGCGCCCGCTTCCTCCGGACGATACTTCAACCGTATCCTCAGCGACATCGCACAGATAGGCATAGCACACCTCTGCATTCTGGTACCACTCGTACATCGAGTTCAGCGCCTCGGATAACTCAGCGCTGCTGGTCTTGTCGATGCAGAAGGTGTCGACCCAGATATAGCCCAGATTATCGCGGAGGGCCTGGGCGCAGCATTGTGTAATTTTCTCGTAGCCTTTTTTGGTTGGTGCAGCCCCGGAAAGGATAACCTGGAAGATGACCTCGTCGTCTTGCCAGCGGTGGGAGAGGATGGCGTAGGGGGGGATAGTCTCGCCGAGGAAGTCGGTCAAATTGTGGGTTGTTGCGTTGAAGAGACGCATTTTGTTTCGCCTGGGTTATTACGAGAGGTGATTTTTCATTGTGGGAGGACGGCTTTATATATGTAGCTCCTTGGCCGGTTGATCTACTAAGCTCGTATTCGTTCATTTCCGGGCTGTGGTGACTTTATCTAGTGCGAGACTGACAAGGTTTATACGATGCCGAGAGTTCTTGGTGTTTGAGAAAATGAGGGGAGTGTATCTATTGCCGACAGAGCATATATACAAATAAATGGGAATATACATCAAATCCTCCATTTGCGCCTTCCATTGAAGCCAGCCTGACGATCCATCATACTGAGGGCCGCCTCGATTCGCACCCACACCACACCCACCGTAGCACCGACGAGCAAAACACCCACCAAGATACTCGTATTGAAGAACAGCTTGCTCATCACTTCCTGGTCAACATGGGAGCCACCACTCCTAATCAATGCCCCTGCCACCGGCGTCCCAACCAAAGCCGCAAACCCGCGCACCATATACAAAAACCCATTTACACTGGCAAAGTGTTCCACCCCAAACAATTCCACCAGGGTGGCAGGAAACAAACTCACATACGCCCCGGCAAACACACCATAGAACATCGCAAACGCGACGAACAGGGCCTTCCCACCCAATACCGTCGAAGGCAACCACAGCCCCAGAGTCGCAATGGCGCTCATCAGCGTCGTAAACAGGAAGACGTTGATCCGTCCGACACGGTCCGCAACATGCCCGATAACCACCTTCCCGACAGCCGACGACGCATTCGAGATAGAGATGAACATCGCCCCCGTCGCGGCGGAGTAGCCCAACGTGCGCGCATACGTCGACATGAAGTACACAGGCGCGTAGTACGCCGCGCCCTGCAGTCCGGCGGAGAGGCACTGGGCGATGAACTTCCTAGAGCGCGCGACGCGCCAGTCCACGAGCGTGACGCGGAGCCGGGACGCGGAGGATGTCTGCCGTTCTCTTTCGATCTGGCGCTTGGTGCGCGGGTCCCAGTCTAGCACGAGGGAGGCACCGCCCAGCAGCACTGTCGAGAGACCGCCCGTGAGACGGAGGGTATTCCTAAACCCGATCTGGGCGTTCAGAGCACGCAGCGCAGGCGCCCAGGCTACGCCGCCCACGCCGGTGCCGGAGGAGATAATTCCGATGGCGAGGCCACGGTGGGTGGTGAACCAGCCTGGGGCGACGGTTACGGCGGTGATGTAGGTGAGACATGTGCCGCAGCCTAGTAGGACACCTTGGGTGAGGACGAATTGCCAGAGATGCTGGCTGAACGATGCGAGGACATTCGCGATGGCGAAGATGATCGTCCCGGCTAGAGTGATCCTGCGGGGGGAGTAGGATCTGCACCAGCCTGAGGCGAATGGCGCTCCGAGGGACATCATGGAGACGGCTAATGTCCCGATGAGATCAATCTGGGCGGGAGAGACGCCGGTGAATGGGGTGCGAGTGGGGAGTTGGGACATGGATTCGTAGAGTTCTTGATACACACCGAAGGCGAAGTTGAGGCCACAGCCGGTGAAGATACTCATGAAGGCGGCGATAACCACCAGAGTAGATTTCCTGGATAATTAGACGGGCTATAGATTCGGTGAGACGACCTACAGATTTGTGGGGGTTCCCTCTTGCAATGGTTCTTCTATTTCCATGGACGGTGGGTGGGAGGTGCCCGTTTCCGGGTCTGCAGTAAGTGCACACTCATTTTGATTATGTTGCCTTGATGAAGACATACTGTTCTCGATGTTGTTGGATGAAAAAGAGTGATGATGAGGCCGTTATGTATTGATCGGATAACCTCGGATGAATCGGGCATCTACGGATCGTGCATGACTCAAGACCGTCATCTTAGATGAAGGTCAAACCCTCGGATAAAGATCCGAATAGTAAGAACAAAAGGTACGAAAAAGCAAATATGATACTCAGTTTTGCAGCAGTCTGATGTATAAGTGTGTCAATAGTGCCGCGGGGAATTCCTCTCGAAGGCACTTCGGATATGGTTTTCTGGCAGTGTTTAGATAGTCACAATGCTAACTAGCGAACGTCGCTTTTTCTCCACTCTCTTTTTTCCAAACAATCATGATTGACCTATCTCCTCTCTTGCTAGACGGTCCCTCTTTTCCCTTGCATCGCCTGTCAATCCCCAAGTTAGCCATCTCTTTAGAGCCAAGGTTCTGTGTCGCGACATCTTACACAAGCATGCATAATATTCTGTTCTCATGTACCGGCACCAGGTGGCCTCCACAATATCCTCGCCAACGGCAAGATTACGCAGGAACCTCATGAAAGATACGACGATCATGTCCCGCTCAGAGCTAAACCATCCTTCACCTTCAACGAGGCGGGATATCTTGATGACGAGCGCCTTTTCGTTGGAATCGAGACTATCCTCGCTTCCGTGGAGTGTCTCGATTATGCGGAGACAATGGATATCTGTGAGCTCTTCTGCTTCGATTAGTGAATAGGAACACTGTTCGGCAATGAGGGCTGTTCGAAACGTACCGGGCATTGAATGGTCGATATTGAGATTGTGAGACAATGAAGATGACCGAGGTATTTGGTTTCTGTCCTCGAAGTGATTGATATATATTACCATGGCCGCAGGACACAGCTAATCAACCAAGATCATGATCCCTCGCAAGAGCAAAKGCTTATAGTGAGGAATCACCACTCTCGCCATCTCAAGATGGTCTCTCAACCCTGTTCTTGGCTTGGTTAGACCTTAACGAAGTGTCTACAAAGACCTATTTAGGCAGGAGTCTCTTCAGAACGCATCAGACCAATGAGAGCCGCAAGCCCTTAATCGATATCCTTCGGCATTCATAACGGCCAATAGTTCAACGATGTGGCTCTGAGCCACGGTTGAACCCGACACTGTGGAAGATTTTGAGTTGACATGTCGCGTCTGTGCTTGCAGGCCTTCCAATGTACGCCAAGAATTGGCGTAGGCGTTTTCTTTGTTCGAGAGGGTGACTCATGGAAGACTGACAGGGATGTACATTAATGGCATTAGGAGTGGACTGGGTAGTTGATCGTTGTTTCCGTTCGAGACTCTGCGACTGTTATCCAAATCCCGTACGTACAGTGGAGCTATTGAAGGGTTATTAGAAGCGTTGCGAGTGGCAGTAGAGGCATATTGAACATACCTCATCGTATATTACTGTTGAACTGCGAAGGACACTAATGAGTGTTCCTCACTTGAGAACATCAATACCTTACACAAATTGTGAGGAACACATTACCGCAATCCGCATCTATTCATGACAGACTGAGTACAAAGCACCCTGGCAAAGCCCACCAGCATATCATCCCTCAAGCCTACTGAAATAGAATGAATCAAATCCCGAGAGAACGGTTACCTCCACTTGCACACTGCACATTTGTGGGTCTAGTCCTTCATCACTGAATGATTGGCTACCGGCTGCCCGGCTTCCAAAGCGCGGGCCACTAACGCACGGCCCGGAACCCGCCATGCCGCTAAGCCTTAGCGTGCCTTTGCCCCGGTACCATTTCACCAATCAAGGGACTATTGGCACGGTCTGTCAACCGTTGAGCTGGCAGGTTTTCGTCAGAGGGGTTGATATCTCTCGCATGGACTGTCAAGGCTAGAAAGTGTTGTGAGGTATTAATGTTCGGCTAGAAGGTGGTATCGTTAGGCAACCATGGGCTGCTGCGGGCCTTGTAGGACTATTGGCATGTATGCTCGGCATTGGACTTGTCATCTCTATCAACAAAGAAACACCCCTGCTTGGCTTGCTCGACTGCAGAAGTGTAATTTGGCTTATGCACAGTTGCCAGGAATATTTCATAGCTCCACATCCACACAGTAAATCAAGGTTAACATACATGCTGTTTCCAAACTTAGAGTGATGCATTGAATTAGGCAGCGTAGATCACACCGTATCTTCCACTCTCCGTGGTCGCAAGCAGAGTCACTAATATCGAGCCTTTATTACAATAAGCAACGGTGAGATGACGCGATGCAACGCCAGCCAGTCAGCAGCGTATCTTTTCAAAACGCCTAACCTGGCAAGCGCAAACGCAAGCCGGATAGGCTTTTCGTTGCTTCGCGCAAAGCACTGAAAGAGACGGTTGATCCGCTGCTTTTCCTCGTCGGTGAGCACCGCATTGCCCCTCCAGTAATCCTGGGCCTTTCGCGAATCAAGCCACCTGATTCCAGGCAGATAATGGTCCCATGAATCACAGGCGAAGAGAGCTCCGAACAATTGAGACGAGAGCGGATACACCCGATCGAGCCAGATCAAGGAACTAGAAATAAGGCCCAGCTCATGTCTCGCGTAATCGGTTGCCCCGGAATTGTCTATTGGTGCATTTTCAAGCTTGCTGGCTCCGACCGGCATCGAAAGGATCCGGTCCATTATGAACATCGTAAGACTGGACCGAGCGGGGTGAAACGCCGCCCGGAAAGAATACCACTCGCTTCCCTCTCGAGTGGACAGGTCGATCTGGCTCAGAATATCTCGCAGCGTTCTTGGATTGTTGAGCCCCAGAATAGAAAGCAGATTTTTCAGAAACTCGACTTCCGCAGGGTATTCCACTTGGCAATGCCCGAGCGAGGCTGTCCAATTCCACAGAAACGATCCGAGCGCGTAGACCGTTTCAAAACCTTTGTTGTCGGTGGTAGTCCTCGCTACCTGGGTTTGATAGAGTTGATCCAGGAAGCACTCTCCGAGAAAGACTGCTCCGCTTAAACCGTCTAGGATCCTGTGGTCGTCTCTAGTTGCGCTGAGCTGCCCCTTGTAGATCACATCGTGTTCCACTTCGGCCCAGACATGCCGCAGCACGGACACAACCTGGATTTCGACCTTTGTGTTGTGTATGGGGACGCCTTCCTGGTTGACTGCTCCGTTCTTGAGATGCACTCGATAGTGCTTTGCGCAGTAGCCCGGGAACCGTCGATCGTAGCCGCCGTGGATTGCTTCGTCAATGCCCATGTGGTTGATGGTCTTTTTTTCCACGACAGTAAATTCGTCATTGAGTATGCGCTTGACCTCCTCTCCGTGCCGGGGATAGTAGAGAGCAATGCGCACACCAGCCAGGTCAGATATGTCGTTTTTGATCTCTTCTCTGTCTGAGTAGACGTGGCCTCGAAGCAGTTGTCGTGCATATAACTTTTTGCGTAGACTGGCCGGTTCTTTTGCTCGATGGCTGACTAGGCATGGTATATGATGTCTTTCGAGTGCTGCCTCGCAGATCTTTCTAGCAGCCATTGCGGTGTGATTGTAAAAGTCGCGGTGTTTCTCGTAGGAAGCGACAAAGTTTTCAATTATAGCCGAGGTTGAGGCCGCCGTTGATGAAGCGAGATCTTCTTTTGCCTTTTTGTCCATGCTGTGAATAAGCGGATAGTTGGTTCTATACTAGTAATCGACTTTGACCACTGTCTCGGTATTGAGAGCAGCGAGAACAAAAAAGAAGCTGCAGCAAGAGAGAATCACAGCCGTATTTATTACCCGTCGTTTACTCGCTTGATTCAGCCCTCAAAAGGCTGAGGAGATGGTTCCAGCTCATGCAGGTCTTATGCTGCGTGACCACTCCTAGTACCAACCACATTCATAGCAGAGTCAGCTATACAGAGAGACGCATATTAGTGTTGTCGATCCCTGCACAATGTGATAGATTATGCAGACCGGCAGTCCTAGCAAATCAGAGCTCTCCTCGCCCTCGAGTTAAGATTGAATGCGTAGTCCCTGTAGGTACTTTACCATCACTTATCGTGACGATTAGGAAGACAGTATGGTCTTGGCCTATGCTGTTATTTTCGATAGTCCGTAAAGGATCCTCATTGTGCACTAGTCCAGCCAGCCTCATCCGACGATTATTACTTATACATGTAATGAGGCAAGGAATTGAGGACTCCTGCCATTATGAAACGTTCTTGAAGTTCGCCACGTACTCTGACGATTCTCTGGGCGTTGATGTTGCGATGTCCGGAAACGGTTATCATCGGGGGATGCGGAAGACCACCTTTATCTCACTCACCTGCAACGTCATGGAATTTGCAAACATGCGGTCAACGAGTGTCTTCATCTTGCGTCGAATGGGTTGATAAACATTTGATCCATTTTTCTGGCATGCTCTCTGTCTAGGGGAGTTTTGTCTTTCTTGCCATGTTTTTCGTATCTGTTGGCTCACCCGGAGATATATATCAAACAAGCTTTAATCGAAGCATAACTATAAGGATCTAGTAATCCAGTCATCTTCTAGTATAGGTGCTATCTCTCTTGACCTTGCTCAATCTGAAAATGGAGATGTGATTAGATAGGCACGTTTCATCTGAATACTTCGTCCCAGCGTTGTACCTACCTTACTTATTTTAATAATCAGATCCTCACCACGTGGTCCAACATAAATGAGGGCGTTTTTGACTCTGTTGTGATATTGCAGATACAAGCTCTAAAATCTACCTGAACTGTTCCATAATATCATATGGATTTGTGTGGTATTGGCTGGTTTTTCTGCTGCCTGAAATACGAGTTATTGGCCTTATGATACTCTTGAGAAAGAAATTCCCCTCCAAGAATGCCCCTCTTTGCGACCATCAACCATAATATAAAAGTCCACGAAAAGAACAGCAAAGGGAGAGAATGAGAGGATAAACTTACACCACTCAGCGATAAATCTTCCCCAGGTTTTTCACATCTCCTGTTAGACATACTTCGGCACGCTACAGGCAGAATGTCGCAGTCAATCTACTCGTCCTCAATCCCAGAAAACCACATCGAACGATTATCTACAGAACTCGACGCACATGACATTCCCTCAAAGCCATCCTACGGCATCGACTCACCTCTCGGGCTGATCGCCTCTAACATTCTATCCCCACTCTACCTCTACGCAACCACCAAAGGCAAATTCCAAGTGTGGGATGACCTCCTCGCCAACCTCCCCAGGGAAACTTTCAGATCGCCCACCCTCGACCTCGGCTGCGGCCGAGGGATGGTTTTACTGAAGATCGCCCAAATCAAGAAACAACTCAACTCTTCAGAGTCACCGGTACACCCCGCATACGGCATCGATCTATTCGTCAAAGGCGATCAGAGCGGAAACTCGCCACTGGCAACTTACAAGAATACCGCTGCGCTGGGGGTCTGTGAGCAGACGGTCTTGCATTCGGGGAGTTTTGCTGAGTTGCCGTTTTCTGATGGTGTGTTTTCACTGGTGACGGCGAGTTTGTCAATCCATAATGCGGATAAAGCGACCAGGAAGCAGGCAATAGGGGAGGCTGCAAGGGTGTTGATGTCGGGGGGATACTTGGTTGTGGTGGATATGGCGGGGTATGTCAGTGAGTATTTGAATACGGTCAAGGAGATGGGCTGGATGGATGTGTCGAGTGAGTTTGGGGGCATGAGAATTATGTATGGAGCGTGGCCCTGTCAGATATTGAGGGCCAGAAAGCCGTAATCTCTACAGGCTTTTGTAAAAATGGCGCCCCAGCCTTATATTCTTTGACTGTTTTCTGAAACCCGATGCCAAGACCTGCTGAGACTCCTCATGTTATCACGCATTTCTGTCGTACCTGTTATTGCACAAGAGTAAGGTTAATTAGATTCTCGGGGTCACCAGACAGAAACACACTCTCGCCCGCCGGATTACGATATCATGGATGGAAATCAGGGGGTGGGTGTGGCTGTTCTTGCAATGTCTCCAGATCTCATCAATGCCGAGAGCAAACCTCTGATGGGCAGTGACGATACTACATTGGGAAATCATCCTCCCTTCAGAGCTTCCGAGGACACTGCAGTCAGTCTAGGGAGTTACTTCACTGTAGAGACATTTGATGGGGCTTCTGCAGCAGTGCAGACAAAGTGAACTGGTGTTATCAGTCCTGAATTCCCGGAGTCTCAGTCGGGCTCATCAATGTATAGCAGATAATCTGCCCCGGAGAACTAAGGAGCAGGTGGCGCATAAAAAAGGAATATGCCTAAGGAACCCGCTACCCTTGTTTTTAATCCCTTGATGATTATCAGGTCGAAAAAATTCGGGACATTCTTAGTGATGGTGGCTTTTAGCTCGGCCTAGGCAGGTTGGCCACACGCCAGCCAGGTAGTAGCTATCCCGGCTGTTGTATATGTTTGCCTGTGTTTTCACCATGTCTAGGGTTTGTACTTTGTAAAAAGGTGCGTGAGGGCATATGCTCCCCATTGATTCTTCAGATTGTCAAGTAATAGTAAGATGGAGAACGTCGTATACATCTAGTACTGTGATGAGACCTAAGGGACGACCTTTTATACAGAGTAGTCCTGGGCGGCAAGGACTGGGGAGATTCTTGCTGTTAGGTAGGTTAGGAGTAAGGTGTAGTTATCTAGTTAGTTGGTGGAGGATTGTGGCTGTGGTAACGGTGGTTGTGGTGTCTTTATCCTGTCCTTATATCTGTCGCGATGGTGTACCTATGGATGTATATTTACTGTGTGGCAAAAGGTGTATGTTCGGTCTCTGGCTATGTTAGAGTCTGATGTGGTTTGCTTCATTTGGGTTGAAGAGTAGGTATAGTATGATCCTCAGTCTGACGTTGTCTAGAATCTACATTGATGGTCAATATTGCCAGACTCGCGGGTCTTACCATTTAGTGCTTAGGTGCTATATCACCCAAATCTTGTTCATTATTCCCAGGGTTCAATATTCACCATGGTGCAGTTCACTGTCTTTTGCCCTTCCTATTCGAATAGCTGTAACAAAGCAAGGTAGATATCTAGGCAGTTAATCTCTGGTTATCCATACCACATACAAGAATTGCATCTACCCAACACCCCCTAACAAATGAAAAGCCCCCTCCCTCGCAGAATTTACCCTAATCAGGAGCGGGTCCGATCCTGGCCCCCGGCCTGCTCGATGTCGAGATTGTACAGCACCCGCAAGAGGGTCAGTCGCAACTCCCCCCAGGCTAGGTTCTGCCCAATGCAGTTGCGTCCGCCGACTGTGAATGGTTTGAAAATGTTTCTATTATTATCCTCCTGATCGCGCAGCCAGCGCCCCAGCGTGAGCCCGTAGGGTGAGGCGAAGTTGGAGTCGGCAATGTATACTGCAAAGTAGGAGATGCCAACAAGAGTCTGGTGTCTGGCAATCACTTGCAGTGGTGATCTGCAGACTAACCTCCCCACCAATCTGCAACACAAGAAGACTGGCCTTGGGCCTTGATGAGTTAAGTTCAAGCCTTATCCTCTTAGATGCTATTTTTAGAGTATACCCTGCTGCTTAACTCCTAGTGGCTTCCTACCCCATGTGATGGCCAGGAACACGAACTTTACGAGCCAGGCCACTTACAGGATCTTAGTTGATGTAATACGTCTAAACTTAGCTTTAATATGATATTCGGCCCCAGACCTGGACCCTGAATTAGGGAACACAAGAGCGAGTGTTTAGAGTCTGTAGCCATAATTGGCAAGATCAATATGAAAGTAGCTCAGAAATACTGCGTCAACACGAGATGCATGACTATAATTGACAAGGCTGACAGAGCAACACGAGTATTCCTTGCCTCCTTTAGAGCAATTGTGATGCATTTCATCTGTGCCCGAGAAAGAAGCCATGGTGATTACGGTCAGGTCGCATCTATATAAACCCCTTCAAGACCTGGCTTGATACGATAAATCAGGCAGCTTTAACAACCATCCCAAGAAACGACAAGAAACTACAACTCTACTACTTCAAATTCTTAACCTAAGAAATACACATCTTCAAAATGCAGTTCTCCAAGATCTCCGCTGTTATTTTGACCGTCCTCGCTGCTGGCGTCACTGCAGCTCCGTTTGCTGAGGCCGACACTGCTCCAGCTGTCCGCGAAGAGGCTGCTCCTGGCCAGCCGGAGTGGCCGGAGGAACACCCAGCAATCTCTAAGCGCGGATTTGGATGTCCTGGCGATCGCTATCAATGCAGCGAACATGTATGTTACATCATGGCTTTATACCACTTTCCCTACCCTCGTGCTAACATCGAGCGCAGTGCAGGAGCTTGGGCGGTGGACGCACTGGTGGCTACTGTGGTGGGCACTGGTGGCTAGGACACCCGTGAGTTAACTGTTCTATCATGATCTCAGGCAACTATGCTAATAGCGAGCAGCACCTGCATCTGCACCTTTTAAGACTTTTGCCCTCAAACCACTGTCTGACTGTAGGATGGGTCTTGTACAGGACCGAGCGCTACGTCGGGCTTTGAGGGGGGAGGCAATGTAGTGAGGAAACATAGCTGTATTCTTTTCTTTTGTTTTGCAGTTTGACTACTCGTGCCTATCTCGGGGTTCAACCCTCCGGGGTGGCATCTTGCTGAAGGTAGAGGGGGTTTCTCCTCTTACCATGCTGTTCTTAGCTACTACTTGCAATTGCTAGTTTGATTCGAATGATATTGATTCCTTTGACTCTATCTTTCCCCTGGGCGAACTGATGTCCAGTTCGGACACGACCTCGCTCATGACTCCTACCTGCGGCCTAGCTTGACCTACTCTTCGGTGTGCTGTGTTGTATTCCTCGTACATTTGGTGATGGCTGTTTGATGAGGTATGTGGGCGCCTGAAGATTCAGCGCTCACTACCGGATAGTGAAGGGGTGGGTGCCTGTAGATAAGGTCCCCTTCTAGGAGACCACACTTAACTAATACACTATCTCTCTCTCTTTCTGGTTCTCTCGCTCTTTTCGCCCTACTCTGCGCTCTCCTCGATCAGATAGTCTTCTTCAGGGCACATACTTAGAAAATACAACTCTCACTCTCTCGTTTCTGGTCTCTCCATAGATCTCTCTTTTCATCTGCTATCGCATCGGCCTCAGTGGTGACCCAGACGAGCTCTTGCAAATTCCAAAGCATAGGAACAACATCAAAATGCCATCTGGCTAAAAGCAATTCAAGCACCAGCGGATGCTCGCACTAGCCATTGACTTGTCCCACGTAGATAGGCCCTGTTCAAGATTTCGAAATGTCTCTTATCCGGGTCGGCTTGCCGCTGGTGCTTCGGCAGATTACTCAGGGCCCGCGCCACATAGGGGCAGCGCGGGCAGCGGTACCCCTGGTAGACTGGCAGCCCAGGCACGGGGGCGCTCTGTGGGGGTGGGGGCACACATGCACCCTGGGTGGGATCCCAAGCCGGTCGCCGGCCCATCAGGGCCTGGGCGGGGACCCGGAGAGCTGGGGTTGCGGCGGAGGGATGCTTCCTGTGCCGGGTGGCCAGATGGCTTTGGAGATGGGAAATGAGCACTGCATACCCACATGGGCGGCAGATCCATACCCTGTGAGCATCATTATAGGTAAAGAGATCCATCTCAGGCAGCGGTGGGGCGGAGAACTGGGATGAACAGTTCATGCGCGAGGACCGCGACAGCATAGGGTGTAGAGCAGAGAAATCAACAGTCATGTACACAGCAACATCAGAGATTATTAGTAGACAGATGATGTTCTATGATAGCAAGGGAACTAGAGATAGGAGCACTTCTCTTAGAAATGATATTTCTTTAAGATTTAGTTGTTATGGAACACCTGCAGGCAGCATGGAATGGTTGGATGGGGCTTATGAGAAAGGCGGTGCAGCTTGATGTAAAGCAGTTAAGTTATGTGACTAATAATTCCTGATGCTAAGGAATAGTAACAGTCCATAAGGGACTGTAATTATATAAAGACACCATGGACCTTAGGCAAACAGTCTATAATAGGACCTTATGATAACCTCAACTTCCTCAAGGTATGGACCAGAAAGGAGGAACTATATAAGGACACTCATTACTATTATATCTAGAAATCTTAGTTTAGTTCTTTGCATTTAATATTAATATCTCACTTAAGTATAAGATTAGTAGTCTAATTCATTAGTTACTCTCCTTTGGGACAGATGACAGCCCGTATTCGAATCTCTGCTGACGCTACCCTCTACCACATTCTCGCAACGCTTCTCCAAGTGATTCCTTATATTGGGAGTCCACTGCGGAACCCTGCCAATGACTGCAATGTTAAAATGTATATGATAGAAAATATGATAATATAAATGCTGGTGAAGGCAACTTCCCTATATACTTATTAGGCAGCTGGATTTCTTTGGGATTGCTCTGTGATGATTGGTCATGGCAGAATGGAATCATTCTGCCAGTCGGTGATTGGTCCAATGTCTTAACTGCCGGAGCTTAATTGGATCAAGCAATCAATGGTAGAACTCTCTTGGCGGCAATGTCTGGATATGGTAGCTTAGCTTTGTGGGCCGCGTCAGCCAACTCTCGGATCGCCGGAAGAGATCGCGTGTTAGAGGAATATCTCGAAGCTCCCATCTTTCCTAGTTGCTCATACTTAGCACATATTTTCAGTACGATGGATTCTCTATCAACTGCCGACGATAGCGAGGTGGGAAGCTCCTCATCCCAGGAGACCTTCACCTTACTGGAGATGAGTCCTGGTGACCTCGCAGGTCGAAAAATATTGCCACTTGACGTCTCGGATGATCTACATAGCAGCTACAAGCGCAGACAAAGATGCCATTGGCTATCGCAGGTTGTAAATCTCTGGAAATGTTCTCATGTTCAGTGTAACGCACGTCCACTATCTCGACGCGCAATCATCTGCAGAGGCGTCAAGAGACCTTTCTGGGCATTGATTTGGATATTGTAAGTACTCATGCACTACATCCTCGTTAGGCACTGACTTGCTGTCTAGAGGATTTCTAAAGGTCGTCTCTCTGGTGTGGACCGGTCTAGTCCACCTTTTTCCCGACGACCTCGACTCCCGTCTAGGCGCCTGGGTCTTCCCCGGCGGACAGCCGTCTATATTCTCTCACTGGGTCACTCACGGGGTCACTCCCGTGCAATGCCACTCACACAATGATTACTGGCGGTCAATCCCGCTCTTCTCAGCCATAAAAGCCGGCTGCATCGGCGTCGAGGCGGACATCTGGCTCTCCGGAGAGGATGTCCTCGTCGGCCACAATCGTTTCACATTACACCACGCCGCCACACTGCGCAGTTTATACCTTGATCCGCTGCTGGATCTTCTTGAGCAGCATAACACCCGCTCCAGTCGGCTGCAGCCCGACAGAAGTGAGGACCTAGCGGGTGTATTTGCTCACGACCCATCCCAGACAGTCGTTCTTCTCATCGATTTCAAAACAGATGGCAACGATACATGGCCCTACCTGGTCGAGCAGCTCACACCGCTGCGTGAGGCAGGCTACCTTACGCATTTCGATGGAGCGGAGATGGTCCAGCGTCCTGTGACGGTGGTCGTCTCGGGAGATGCCCCCTTCCATCTTATTGCGGCGAATAGCACCTACCGCGACATATTCTTCGACGCTCCGTTGGATAAACTAGATCAACCAGCTTTGGAATCCAATACAGGGGAGCCTGCATCAGCTGCAGCTTCCGATTACAACTATACAAACAGCTACTACGCCTCCGTCGACTTTCGCAAGACTATTGGATCACTATCTCGGAACCGCTTCTCGCAGGACCAGTTAGCTCGTGTCCGCGAGCAAGTTGCAGCAGCTCATGATCGCGGCCTTAAGGTCAGGTACTGGGGGACCCCGACGTGGCCGCGGGGGCTGCGGAATCATGTTTGGCATGTTTTGGTTCGCGAAGGGGTGGATTATATCAACGTAGATGATCTTGCTGAGGGGACGATGCAAGATTGGAGGAAACATCGGAGTTGGTGGTTGTAACATTCATTTACCTGAGCGATGGAGTCTATTGGAATGGAGTTTACCTTGTTTGTCCTTTTGTGAATTGAGGAGGGAGATATCATCCTTGTTGAAGTCCTCAGGATAAAAGCTTCAGTGATAGCGAAAGACACAATAAATTTGGATTTACATTGGGGCTCTTGTTCGCAGATTCTGTTCAGTAAGTGTTCGAACTTTGAAATGAGTAGATATCGACTCGAGATCGTTTTTGATGTTGTACGAATTCTTCAGGTTCTGTCTTCAATTAGAGACACCATTGTCAAAGGACTATTAGTCGGAGATAGATGATGAAATAGGTTCTAAAACCGTCTCACCTATGTCCTTGCAAGATTGAATCTACGAAAATGAATGAAATAATACTGAAATTTGCGCATAAAATAACGAGCATAAAGCATGTTGCTGCTTTGTGTCCGGTATCCTTTGTCTTAAGATCAGCCGCTCCGACCTGGACGAGCAGCGATATGAGACAAAATATGTTCATACGTAATCCCTTTGTAGTTGTCTGTAAGACAATGACAATAGGTTGCAAGATGTCATTTGTGAGACAGATCAGATTTTCTTCCCATTCACGCCATTTCGATACTTGATACACATCGCAACGAAGCGCTGCGAATTCTTTCTACAATGTCTCTCAGTATAGAGCAAGATGTTTGACATTTTTCAAGACAACGCAATCCTCCGTTCAGATACTGCATCGAAGATGTCTTACTCTTGTATATAAATTCAGTCCGATATCCTGTGCAAGTCTCTTCTCATCCGAACCAACTCTCTCAATCTTCCTCTCTCATAATCACCACTTCGAATACAAACATACCACAACTTTTATACAATTTCTTGTTAAGGTACGCAAACGCAACCAGCACTCAATATGGCTACCAATCAATGCACTCAGTCCCATCAGCCAACCGAGCCAATTACAATTACCCAACCCACCCAGACCGCAAATACCCAGGCCCCCTGCGTCCACATCCTCTTCGACGTCAAGACATCCCCAAAGAAGCTAAACCCCATCCTCCTCGAGACTCTCCATCACAAGATCTACCACCGCGATGTGAAGATCTACCCCTCCTTCGAGGACATGAAGAACGCCGGAGCTGTCAAACGCGGCAACGTCGTCGTTTCCCTAAAAGCAGAGGGAATGAATGAAGACCAGATCGTTATGGCCTCGCGGATAAAGATCCAGCAGCTCAGTATGGACTGGGATAAGAATGAGCTGGTCGGCGAGGGCCTCTGCTTGGTTACTGAGAACAAGACGAGGAGTCCTGGGTGGGGCTTCATGCCCTACAACGCTTGGAGGGAGCAGGCGAAGCGGCGCTAACTGTCTGTATAGATGGTTCGCCTTCGCCTAGGGAGAGGAGAGAAAATTGGTGGACACGATGTGAGTGCTTTTCATTTCTTGGTCTTCGTTTCTTCATTTCTTCGGTTTCTTCTGCTTTCGGTGGTTTCGAAAGGTGAGGTTGCAAGCTAGTGGCGTTGTCTAGTGGTACAAATCGGAGTTTGAACGCGTTGTTTTCGACTTGAGTTCCCTCGTAGGATATTTGTACAGATTTAAAGGGAATCATAGATCCATTCTTGGGGCTTCCGCAACACAAGAACCCGAAGCAAGCGTCACATTATGATGCTGTCAAGGGAATCATCGGTATAAAACAGATTGGGTGCTTCGCTGTACATAAAGGAGTATATCAGGAGTGAATATGGTAGCGGAAGAACGCAGCACTCTCCGCGTCTCGCGGTTATACCTGATATTCTAGGGAAGCTCTATTTGTAAGCCAACTGCAGCGTCGAATCTGCCTGACCATTTCAAGCGTCACTCCCGCAAAATCTTGCAGAACATGGAGGTCACATGCAATTAAAAACCTGAGCCTTGGAATGTGAAAGTCGTGTTCTTCAGGTGGGATGGGTAGACGCAGGATCCATCCTAGTTGAAATGTTTTTAGTTAGTAATTGAGAGTTTCATAAGATAATTGTGGGATAATCCATGCAGATAGCGGAGGTTGAGTACAGATAGGATTCCGTCCCTGATTCTCTCAGAAAGTCAGCAATCACTTGGCCAGGCCATAGTACGCCTCTTCGGAGGGAAGAGGTGAGTCGTAGCTTTTCCCTTCCACAATGGCCCCTGCAACTCTAGTCTCTATCCACACTTATCCTGCGCAGCACCGTTTATGGTACTTAGTATGAGGGCCGACTACTGTTGGGTACGTTGGTCCGCTGATGGCCTGACATCTCCTCAGTCGACAGGACGCCGGAAAGTTGGATACGAAATCGCCGGGTCTAGGTTTCCTTCAATCCCGATAATATCTCAAAATCCCTAGTCCGCTGACTACTCTTTCATCACGGAGCTGTCAGCGCTGGACTCATCCCTTGTCTCCCCCACCTAAGACATCCCGAGACCGACTCTGTCACAGATTTAGCCTTAGTCCCCTGGTGGGGCTCAGGGTCCCTCAGGGTCCCTCAGGGTCCCTCAGTGTCCAGACAAGGGGCCAAGATTGTCAATTCTCCACAGCCTGATGCCGTTTGGGGTAATGAGAATGTCAATCTGCGACAGATAGATGATTGACGGCAAATGGAGAGTTCAGAGTGCCGCGTTGGAGTCCTCCGATCTCCTGTTTTGTCGCGGATTTGAGGGCAACAACCCCGACTCGGAAATATTCCGTACATCCCTGTTGCTTGGCAGAATTTAGAGTCATAGTACCAAGAAGTATAATCTTCGTCAGACGACGTTATGTTCCATCGCGTGTTTAACCGGAGTTTGTGGACCGTTTGTTTGGTTGTTTGTTTGAGGGACATTTTGAGACATGAGACAGAGGGGAGTATATAAAGAGCCATCGCGGCCTGCAGAATGGTCCTACAGAGAGCACAGCATTCAACACGATGAAGATATTCCTCCTTCTTCTCATCTCCACCCTTGCAGCGGCCGCCCTGCCCAGCAGCTTCAAATGGAGCTCCAGCGGGGCTCTGGTCGGCCCCAAGAACGATGGCCGCAACATCGCAGGTATCAAAGATCCCTCCATTGTCGAAGTGGACGGGACGTACCACGTCTTCGCCAGCACGGCCACAGCGTCCGGCTACAACCTCGTGTACTTCAACTTCAAGGACTTCAACAAGGCCAACCAGGCCACTTTCCACTACCTTGACCAGACCCCGATCGGCTCGGGCTATCGCGCCGCGCCTCAGGTCTTCTTCTTCAAGCCTCATAACCTCTGGTACCTGGTCTTCCAGAATGGCAACGCAGCTTATTCGACCAATGCGAATATTGCCAACCCAGCCGGGTGGAGCGCACCGAAGAATTTCTTCAGTAGCATGCCAAGCATCATCGCCCAGAATAAGGGCAATGGCAACTGGGTCGATATGTGGACTATCTGCGATTCACAGAACTGCTACCTGTTCTCATCAGACGACAACGGCCATCTGTACCGCTCACAGACCTCGTTGGCCAACTTCCCCAACGGCATGGGCAATACAGTAATTGCCCTGTCTGACTCCAACAAGAACGCTCTGTTCGAGGCGTCGAACGTCTACAACGTCGGCAACGGGCAGTATCTCCTTCTCGTTGAAGCCATTGGCAGCGATGGACAGCGCTACTTCCGCTCCTGGACCTCCAACAGTCTGACAGGGCAGTGGAAGGGCCTGGCCAACACCGAGTCGAATCCCTTTGCGCGCTCGAACAACGTTGCCTTTAGCGGGACGCCTTGGACAAAGAGTATCAGTCACGGGGAGATGATTCGCACTCAGACCGATCAGACTATGACTATCAGTCCTTGCAAGCTGCGGTATCTGTATCAGGGATTGAGCCCGTCGGCAAGTGGGGATTACAACTCGCTTCCTTGGAAGCTTGGTCTCCTCACGCAGACCAACTCTAATTGTTGAGCTTCGCAGCAATTGTCTGGGCTGATTTTTTGATAACGGACTTGTGTATGGTAGCTGCTAAGTCAGCCAATCTGGATTTACAATTGGCCTATAGTAACTTACTCGAGGATGGCAATATAAAGAACGGATGGTTTACTGAGTAACTCGCTCTTCCAATAAATGTATAGCTCTTTGTCTAACTGGCAAGCTTCAACATAGAGCGAAGGTGACGACGACTCCTCGTACTGTATATACTCTGAGCTATACTTCGACTGAAAAGCCTAAATGTTTTCGTGGACTTCTAATAATCACACTAACGTTTCAGTCTTTGATGAGAGTCAGTCTGCAGCAGAGTATTGAGAATCCCTTCTGATCGCCACGGTTACAGGCAAATCATGAAAACGTCTAATTACATTGGGAGTATGCCATGCGGCAGCGATGTTATAGTTGAATAGTTCCTTATTGGCTGTATTCAGTATCGACGACAGTGTTCTACTTGAGCATTGCATTCATCGGCCGTTTTCTCGCCGCAGAGCTGTTCCGCAGCTATCCACGGGTTATAATCGCCCCTTATCTAAGCTTTGACAAGATATTCACTCGTGGAGTGTCAGCATTCAAACTAAGAAACCATCTCACTGACAGTAACAGGATTTAATCCCCGGAATCTCGACGCGGTTTTCCTTGTCCTCAGAACCCGATGCCAGAGTCGCCTCGTGGAGTTGACTTTTGCCTTGCAGTGTGTCTGATTATTGACAGAATCCATCTTTGGGATTCAAATACMGATTGAATAGTGGACCGCCAGAAAGCTTAAGAATTGTGTTGGACTAGGTGACGGTTGTACCCACTTTTGGTCCATCAGGTGGCACAGGGAGCCTTCATTGGTTTGTGAAGATCTGAAATAAGGCTTTGGGAAGAATCTGCGGCATCCAGCAGTCTGGCGCTGACGATGTTTGTCCCTGGGAATCCATTTGGAGGATAGTGGATGGGTTGGCGTAATAATGGGTGCTACGTGCGTTTCTGGAATCAAATTCGTATTTCACCAGTTACTAGCGGAAACAGATATCCAGATTCAGCACCACGAGCCAGGCCGTCCGCTTATAAGTATTCGTCTAATGAACCACATTCAAGTCAGTACCATATCCGAGAACCCTCATGTGGAGGCAGTCCGTCTTACTGGAATATCCTTAAACATAGTAAGGAATTGTATCGACTGTGTGTGGACGTATGGATATATCAAACAGTTTCTGTATACCGGGTTGAGGAAAGGCAGATAATGAAGTGAGTAGATATCTGAAGGGGGTGACTACAGACTTATGTATGAGTCAGGCACTCTTTGATTAACTAGATGAGAATAGTGAATGAAATCCATAGGTAATGCTTTTTTATTCAAGGCCAATTGCAAAGACAGTGAATATAGATCAGAGACTGCAAACACATTCCTGTAAGAAATGAAGAACTCAAAGCGGATATTCCCTTTGATGACCTGGTTCCTAAGAGCTACGGTATGTATTCTCTCTTTACTGCTTTACAGAGGGTAGGTGAGCTGAAATCCTGTCTTCTTCATCGGCTCTATGGCAGTGATTTTAGGAGAGGGGGCATATCACTGCGATGGTGGTGTGATTGAAAGAGCGACCTGTACACCAAGCCAATTAAGACACTTAGATCAAAATGAAGACTGATACTTGTAAACCTATCTAAATAAAACGAAGCTCTTTGTAAACTAAAACTAAAGGGGTTCCGAATTCTTGAATCGGAATCTAATGTTGCCAAAAGCATCGGTCACCTCATACCTGCGAGGATTGAACCCTATCAACTATGGTATACTCATTTGATACATCACAAGAACACTGGGCTATAGTTGGACTAAACTAAATTATCAAGCCATCAAAACGCCCGAGCAACCACAGTCATAATCTCATACCAAGGCAATGATCTCATTCTCCTTTGCTTTGAGAATATTTCCCCACTCTCCCATCTCCGCAAGCTTCTGTCTCTTCCACCCCTCGGCCTTGTCGTACACCAATTCCCAGACCGAGCGATCATCCGCACACTTTGTGGACAGGTACGCCATCGCCAGCATGGTCGCAATGACGGTCAGATTCGAACCACTGCTGTCCTTTTGGAATAGATTCATCAGCCGAGCTTGAATATCCCGCTCATCTAGCCCTAGGACCTCCATCAGTTCCGCAGACCAAGTCCAGTATCCCTCAAACGACTGCAAGGCGATAATCCTGTGAACTGTGCTTGCCCCTCCGGCAGTCTCACTGGGGACGGTAGGAGGCGCAGGGGTATAGCCGACCGAGCCATGGGAGTCTGCGCTTTCTATCTCCATCATATCATCCTCCGAGAAGAGGGCGGGAGGACAGACCGCCGGCTCCATCAGGGCATCAAATGTGAATCCCATCGCTGGAGCCGGAGGTGGAGGCGGCGGCGACCATCTCGTATCCAGGAATGTTGCAACTGCAGGCGCACCGAATAACGACTGGGGGACTCCCGTTGCCCTTGAAAGAGGAGCGAAGGAGGCGGCACCGAAACGGGTCGCTGGCGGTGGTGGCGGTGGCACCATCTTTCTATGTGCTTTGTATCCCCTCCTGTTCCTGGCGCGAGCGAAGACAGGGACTGATTCGCTAAGCTCTTCCCCAAGAGCCTCCAATATAGGCATGTCGGCGACATCCTTCTCTTTCATCTGATCCGAGGTGCTGTCTCTCTCTAGGGCGATGAAGGAGCAGTGCTTGCCGGTTACTTGGAACTGTGTTCCTAGTTTCTCGCATTCGCGACCGATGATGCGTTCTTTCGAGCCGGGATGGAGATTATTGAATGGGTTTCCGTTGGTTGTTGCGGCGGCAAGCCAACCGTGTCCTTCCTCGAGCTCGATCATGGCTTTTCGGGCGGCAAGTTGGTGGATTGTCTCTCCGGTGCCGATGTCGTCGATTGGAATGCGCAGGATGAGAGGGCCCTGCTTTGAAGTGGCTCGGAAAATGAGGGCTTTGGGGGTGTGCATGGTTTCTGTACCCAGGAGGTATGCTGTTGTCCGGATGAAGGGGTAGAGAGGTGGGATCTGGTATGGTGCTTGGATGGTTTGGGGGGCTGTGAGGACCGGCAGGGGTTCTTCGTCCGTCCTCTGCTCGTTCTCCTTGTAGTCTGCATCAAAGAGAGAAATCGGCTGCTGCTTTGTTTCGGTCTCATCGACAGTCACGGTCTTAGGCCGTTCTGGGAGAACGACCTCAAAATCCTCGCCACCGTCGTCGTACTCGAGCTCCAGCTTGTAGTCGGATATATGTGGCGTCAGCGCTCCCTTGAGCATGCGCACCACCTTCCTGTCCAGCTCTTCGTAGTTCACGACCAACTGCGAGAAGCCATTCCCTGCCCGCGCAATCCCCTCGACGAGCGAATGCGACGCCTCATCGCCGATCCCTAGTGAGAAGAACCGTGCACTGTTGCCACCGGCCGTCTCACGGATGAATTTGAAAAGTGATTCTTGATTCCAGATTTGCCCATCTGTCAATATCAAGACCTCCAGTTCCTTGTCCTTCATCCGACTGTGGACCGTGGCCTCAACGGCCCCCTGCATTTCCGTTCCGCCCATATCCGCACGGACGCCGTCGACAAAGCTCAGAGCTTCCTTGAGACTCTCGGCACTGTATAAAAGACTCTGCTTCCAAAGAAAGGAGTACGAGCTGCCGAACGAGCAGATATTAAAGCAAACTCCTACCGGGAGACTCTTGAGAAAGACCCTGAGGGCCGACTTGAGAGTGTCGATTTTCTCCATCATGCTTCCACTGCGATCGATCACGAAGATAATTTCCGGCTTGATTGGATCAAGGCCAAACTTCGGTACAAGCGTCGTCATGATCGCCCGTTGGTTAGGGAGAGTCGGGTGCGTCTCCAGCATCGCCCGGGGCGTGTCGAGTCCATCTGCCTTGACAAGGAGGACAAAGTCGCGCGACAGCGAGGTCCGATCTTCCTTTAGATTGACACTTGCAGATGCCTGCGCCGGGTTGAACGCCTTGTCCGACTCGCTAGACGCCGACACCCGTCCCAGCGCCACACTCAGCGAATGACTCGTCGACTGGATCTCTCGGATAACAGCCGTACTCTCCATCTGCACATCCACGGTGATGGAGATACCCTGCACGTCTGCCTCCGGTGGCATGGTCATATCCTCCGCCTGATGGCCATACCGCGGCGCGATGGAATTGGGCAGCGTATATCGCACCGCATCAGTCTGCGTATCCTGCTTCAGCTCCCCGACAAGGGTAATCTCTACTACAACCTTCTCTCCAGGCCCGACATTCCCTAGTTTGATGGAGAATACGTCCGAGGCACTCAGCGAATGGGCCATCAGCGCTGCGGACTCGCCTTTTGAGACGGCATCCTCGTATTGCGCCTTGGCTTGCTTGCGCGGCTTCACGCGGCTGTGCAGAGTGCGGTCGCCGACCTGGCACTTGAAGCTTACTACGCTGACGCCATCGTATAGCGGGAAGGTATATGAGACTTCTTTAAGGAGGTTCTTAGATGGATTTGTGTATGTCTGGGTGAGGACCGTTCTGGAAACGGACGAGAGGATAGTTGCGTGGGCTTTGATGCCGATGCGGGGTAGGTAGACTGGCTTTGCTTGAGGGTGAGGGTAGTAGCCACACCCGCAGAGATATGTGTATGTCATTTTGGTTCTTGTTTGTTGTTGATGTGAGAGAAGATATTGATCGGTGGGGATTGCATTAATATATACTCGTAGTACTAGTGCAATAGCTTGTAGGCAGCAAGCGGACGAGCCTTGTCCACCAGAGTCTTGTTGGAGCCTAGAATCGCTCAGCCACTGAATTTATAAACCTTGTTTACTTTAGCTTGCAAAATGAGCCAAATAGCGTTCTGATGTACTCCGTAACACATCTTGATATACTTGAATGATGACATGACTCGCTAAATTATCCTGTTTCGGAAGGCCGACGGGTCAACGTCTTACTTCTCATCAATACATTCATGTGACAACAGTTACATATTTATTGAGGACTTTGATCGATCGTCCATTCTCTTGCACTACAAAATCACCTCGCATCTAGAGCTCTTATCCATTATGTGTTGCGACTGAGTAAGAAGAATGACTAGCATCGGTATATATAGCTAGATGAACATGCGATAATGTTATCCAACATTCGAGGTCTCATGGGACAGATACAAGTATATTCCCCTCCCATGAATGTGACAGGTAGTGATGCACGAAAAACTGCATTACGAATTGCAGTATATATTTCAGTCGTTAATCGTGTCCATGGGCTGCTGAAAGATGAAGGGGAAGCGACCGATATCCGAGTTCAAGAACTGCAGATAGATTCCAAGCGGTCAGGCATGATATTCACTCTATTCAGTCAAAACGATAAGTCATGCATCACTACAGCTTGACTCTCCACTTCCACCTCCAATCCAACAGGGCCCATCGAGCCATGACTACACTCACCAGTCCCACCATGAGAACTGCCGAGTAGAAGCCGATCAGCACCTGCGGCGTAGTCGACTGCAGCAACTCTCCTCCAACAGGAACAGTCAACAATGCCCCAAACGCAGCGACGCTGTAGATGGTCCCGTAGAATCGCCCATAATCCTCGGTCCGACACAGCTGGCCCGCACATACAGGCGCCAGGGACAGCCATCCCCCAGACCCAAAGCCAAAAACAGCGACGACAGCGTATAATGTAGCCTGGCCGCGAGAGCCAAACGGGAGCCATACGGTACTCATAACCAGAAGCGTCATGACGACGAGCGCCAGCAGAATGTTGAACCGGCCGAGTTGATCCGCCGCTAAGCCAGGAAGGACACGTCCCAAAAAGCTCATGCTGTTGAGTAGGGTGAGGGAGTAGAATTGGGCGTCGAGAGGGAAACCAGCATAACGGATGTAAGTCGGTAACAGCGCTGCGCAGCCAAAAATAATGAACTCAAACGAAAAGACTGCCACAGCGAGGAAGCATAGCCGTGGAGACCTGAAAGCCCCAAAATCAACGGTCGCGCGGCTGCGACGACCGGTAGGAAGTCGTCCTTTGACCAGGATGATACCGGCCGTGTAGCAGCCAGCCGCCATAAATGCAATCGTCCGGATAGCCCATGTCCATCCCAATTGCGGGAAGAGTTTGCGCAGTAGCAGAGGGATGATGGCCCCTCCGGCGGAAGAACCGCCCATACAAATCCCCGAGGCGAGCGCCCGGCGACGATTAAACCAGTGGCTCAGCACGGCAATGGAGACGGTTGCAACGACTGCAGATGAGATTCCTCCTAATACGCTGAGGCATAGCACAAAGTGCCAGTATACTCTACATTGTGCCAGCAGAAGATAGGAGGCAATGTTCAGGAGCGAGCCACCCACCAACAGAATCCGCGGTCCATATCGATCAAACAGAGGTCCAACCTGGACACCAAGGAATAGAGTCAGGAAGACAAGAATGGCGGTGATCCAGCCCACATCCCGGACGCTGTACGTTGCCAGCTGGTGGGTGCTGATGTAGTCCTGGACCGATCCGACTGTTGTATGTCAGTAGCCGTGCTCCGCTAGATGAATTTGAGGATGGATACCTGCAGTTTGAAAGCCAAATGATGGAAACATTATCAGAAATGAGCCCAGTAGACAAGTCCAGGCTTCCCAACCTCCTTCTGGATAGGCCCAGCTGACTCTGCCCTCCGTTTGCATATCTCCGTCCTGCACTGCCAATGGATTGGTGGGTTGGTCATATTGTATTGTACGCATTTCGTAGGTGTATGCGTTACTTGCCTGTTGCATTTTGTTTGGCCTTCAGTTAACTGTTTTGAAAAAAAAGACTGAAGTTGAAACCCCTCATGATGCAGTAGAAGTTGTATTTGGTATCTGGTGGATCAAATGTCGTCAAAAGGGCGCATTCCCCACCCAATCACATTGACCTCGTATAACAGAAATGAAAAGATCAATACAACCACTCTTGGATAGCATTTATGACGTGTTTATCCGGATATTCTGGAGGTGCTCTGAGTGCAAGTGGATGGCTGCCATATACCATCGCTAAAGAAATACATGTGATGAATGGCTATTGACAATGAGACAGGACCACTCGCGAATAGCTTTATTAAAAATTTTCGTGCAATGGTAATTGTTTGTACCACAGGTTTCAGTTACTCTGATAGTGTATGCTGCATGTTGCAAGTAGCCATGAGGACATATTGTTCCGGATAGCTTCATGTCTTCTCGTTTGGGTAAGGGAAGTCGCAGGAGGCAGCGTTGCGTAGACTGCTCCTTGCATACTTTCTTTCCAACAAGTTCTCCATCATGCTGGAGCTACGACATAATTAATGAGAGTTCCCCTCCAGCAATGGTCAACCACAAAGCTATATACTTTCTTTTGGCTTATCATATTGTCCTTCAAATCGTCTACCTTCACTACAATGGACCAATTCACTTCCCACTGGACGTCTATTCACTGTATTCGTCTATTTTTCAACTATCTCATTCACTACTACATGACTGCACCCACTTTGTCAATCACATTTCATCTCTTCACTCCACCTCTCTTCCTTCATTTGCTTCGCGACGACCTACTTGCTACTGATTCCTGTTCTCCCACATCTTGCTGATTTCCCTGTTCTTACTTGCTGATTACTGCTACTACAATTTGAATTGCCGTTGCCTTCCAGTACCTTATACCGGTCAATCCGAGGAACCTGGAAAGGAAGAGGCAAGCAGAGGCAAGCAGAGGCAATGCCAGCGAGGTAAGCATTTCGTTTGACATTTCCTTCCGGTCTGCGAGCAACCTGCTGATTCGATAAACCATGCGCCCTGCTGCGTCACAGACCACGCGGCCAAAGCATCCGGACCAGAAGCCATCGGGCGGTTGCCAGGCTCGAAGTCCCCCTCTGTTTTTTTTAACCGCTAAACCCCTGTATAACAGGGCGTTCGATATGTGCGGCTATCTGGCGATAAAACCGTTGAGTGCATGCGTCGTTGCGGCCTCTGCAACGTATTCAAGGATATGTACATCCAGACCGGCCACGCCAGTACATAGCAAAATTTCAGCTAAGGGAATCCCCGTTCAAGAATGTCGAGTTCTAGTTCTTGGCAGATATGCTGGACCTGCTCGTGATGAGTTTAATAGTTACTATTCCCTTCCTAAAATATTCAACTTCCTGCCGCCAAATACTTGAGAAACTACTAAGATGTTAATTAACCTTGTTAGAGACCTTGGAAAGAGTCACCAGGTAGCCTATTGATATAGGGGTACAATGACCTTCCGCGGGTCAAGGACAATCCAAAGGTAACACAAGAACAATAACAGTAGAGATAGAAGCAAGGCTTATTGAGTACGTATACTCAATAGTAGAGAGTAGCTAACGAATCGGACTAGTGAACTTGTACTCAAGTGAGATATTGATATTGAACGCGAAGAACTAAACTAAGAACTCTAGATACACTGGTAATGACTGTCCTTATATAGTTCCCCCATTCCGGTCCACACCATGAGGCTATCGTAAGGTCCCATCATGGACCGTTTGCCTTAGGTCCATGGTGCCCTTATGTAACTGCGGTCCCTTATGGACCGTCACCATTCCTTGGCATCAGGATTTTTGGGACTAGCGGAATGGTAAAACCTTCTAAATTCTACTTTCCTCGTAGGCCTTTCTTTGATGAAGAGTTCAAAAGTAGAGGAAGGAACGGAGTTGAAAAATATTGACCCTGCTATACACGGAATTCCAAGAAAGAGATCCGGCCTAATGTGTGTCCTAGGGCAAGTTTACTCCCAATAATCGTAAAACAGCGATGCCGATACATAGCAGGAAGCCATAGTACCCTTTTATCGTTCAATTTTATCCACTGGCTATCCTCGATGAAGATCTCCAGATTCACACGGGATGATTTGGATGTGGGAATGTCACATATATCAAAGGCTTCCAAGTTGGTACTTAGACATGAACCGTCCTGAGAAAATTTGAGGTTAGTGACTGCTTCGTTGACAGACCAGGTTTGCTGCTGGATGCCAGTCGCCGTGGTCCAGAGCCTCACGGTGTTGTCACGAGAGCCAGTCGCCAGCAGCCGGCCATCAGGCGAGAAAGCCACCGACCAAACCCTATCTGAATGACCCCTGAGAGTCTGCTGTAGTGTGCCGGTCACTGGTTCCCAGAGCCGCACAGTCTTGTCATCGGAGCCAGATGCCAGCAGCTGGCTGTCAAGAGAGAAGGCCACTGACCAGACACAATCTTCATGGCCCTGAAGAGTCTGCTGCAGCGCGCCCGTTGCTAGGTCCCAGAGCCTAATGGTGTTATCCTGAGAGCCAGATGCGAGCAGCCGGCCATTGTCTGAGAAGGCTACTGACCAAACCCGATGTGAATGCCCCTTAAGAGTCTGTTGCAGCGCGCCCGTTGCTGGGTCCCAGAGCCTTACAGTGTTGTCCTCAGAGCCAGATGCCAGCAGCCGGCCATCATGTGAGAAAGCCACTGACAAAACAGATTTTTCATGGCCCTTAAGAGTCTGCTGTAGTGTGCTGGTCATAGGGTCCCAGAGCCGCACAGTCTTGTCATCAGAGCTGGATGCTAGCAGCCGGCCATCAGGTGAGAAGGCTACTGACCATATGTAACCTAAATGGCATTCAGAAGTTTGCTGTAGCGCGCCTATCACTAGGTCCCAGAGCCGCACGGTCTTGTCAACGGAGCTAGACGCCAGCAGTTGGCCATCGGGTGAGAAGGCCACTGAGCAAACATTATCTGAATGGCCCTCCAGAGTCTGCTGCAGCGCGCCTGCCGCCGGGTCCCAGAGCCTTATGGTGTTGTCAATAGAGCTAGACGCTAGTAGCTGGCCGTCCAGGGAGAATGCCACTGAGGAAACTGGACGTGAATGGCCCTTGAGAATCTGCTGCAGCGCACCCGTCGCTATGTCCCAGAGCCTCACAGTATTGTCACCAGAGCCAATCGCCAGCAGCAGGCCGTCAGGCGAGAAGGCCACTGACCAATCCCCATAATCTTCATAGCCCTTGAGAGTCTGCTGCAGCACGCCTGTCACTGGGTCCCAGAGTTGCACAGTCTCACCATCAGCAATAGATGCTAGCAGTCGCCCATCAGGAGAGAAGGTTACTCTTCTGACCCGATGTGAATGGCCCTTAAGTATCTGCTGCAGCACCCCTGTTGCTGGGTCCCAGAGCCTTATATTATTGTCACTAGAGCCAGACGCCAGCAGCTGGCCATTAGGTGAGAAGGCCACTGACAAAACAGATTTTTCATGGCCCTTAAGAGTCTGCTGTAGYRTGCYRSTCATAGGGTCCCAGAGCCGCACAGTCTTGTCATCAGAGCTAGATGCTAATAGCTGGCCATTAGGTGAGAAGGCCACTGAGGTAACATTATCTAAATGGCCCTCAAGAGTCTGTTGCAGTGCACCTGTCGCTGGGTCCCAGAGCCGCACGGTCCTATCATAGGAGCTGGATGCCAGCAGCCGGCCATTAGGCGAGAAGGCCACTGACCAAACATAACTTGAATGGCCCTCGAGAGTCTGCAATTCAGCACTCCATGTTTCCTCGACTCGTGGTAACTGGCATATCCAGGTAGGGAGATCTAGTTTGAACTCTCTACGCATTATTGCCGTTCGAGGTGCGAATACCARCCCTGAGCAATAGAGCTGGAGAGGTGCATCATCAGCTATTTGGTGGTTTTTAAGAATAAAGCGCTTTGCATCATGTAGAAAATCAGACATTGCGGAATTATGGTCGTCCTATATCTATTAGCATCAACCACATATAACTATCTATACAACTTACTGGTATAGCCATTAGTACATTTAGCATCCCCACCACTTCTGATACAAAACCCAGTAGGCTCATCGCCTCCACCCAGTGCAGGAAATGCCTCTGAAGGAACAAGAATACATCGTCTATCTCTGAAGATGACGCGTTGCTTTGTTCGAGATGGTGTATCCAGTAGCGACTGGAGTATTGCAATTCTGGTGGTAAGTGCTGGCGGATGGATTGTGGATCGACTTCTGCCCGACGCGTCCCAGGACCTTCTAGACCGCAGATATTATTTTTTAGGTGCCTCTTCATAGTTTTGAGACAACATATAGCGATATCCCTATGCTTCTTTCGCTCATCCACGCGAAATATGCTATCAGTAGAGAGCAGAAAGTCTCGAAAGGACAAATGTAAGATTCTGACAGGCCGATCTCGGTCACTAGGTATGCTAAGGACAGACTGAAAAGAATCCACTCGATTCCTGATAATGTCCGCCATCGTCCCAAGGAATCGAGAAAGCGTGTTGGTGGAGAATGGAGCAGCAAGGAGTATGATGGTACCAATTATTTCTTGGAACTCACGTAAGAGTTGCTGCTGCTCTAACTCATCAGTGTCTTGATCATCGACGAGCCGTGTAAGAATTGGCAGGTATGTCTTGTCCATTTTTCTTGCATATCTGGCTTGGTCCTTTAGAAGCTCCACAAGGCGTGTAGTGGGATTCCATTTGGGATGTTCAATATATCGGCACACTGTGGCAGCGGAAATAAACAAGGGAATGGACATCGCGACTAAGTCTTGAATGATTTCATCGCCAGGCCAGTCTTGAGGCACATTTCGCTCTTGTCTAATTATCGCAAACCGGCCCTGTAGGAATAATGAAATATCACTTTCCGTGACTTTTTCGGGGATCTCATGGAGGACTAGATCCTGATAGTCATGATTTGCAATTTTGGCAAACCCGAGGCGGATTGGCAGTTCAGGTCTGCTTGTCAAAAATATCCGAAGGTGAATAGCGTTGGCTTCCTGTAGACGAGGCAGTAATTGAATTATGGTTTGTACGTCAATATCGTGTTCACATTCATCCAAAGCGTCTATCACTACCACAATGGTTGGGAATTGCTGGTTGGGTCCGTCAAGACCTAAAAGCGGTTGGAGAAGTAGTTTATGAAACTGCTCCTTGAGCGATTTGGAAGCAATGTCTGGGTCATCTTGGAGTGCCTTCCGCACGCCAGCAATTAACCCAGGGAACCGACGCCCTAGTTGTCTTGTAATTGTCGGCATAAGCTTTATAGCTCTCCCTCGATCCCCTTCGCCTCTCTTGAAGAAAAAGCTCGCCCCTAGATGCCCGGTCTCTTTGACCGACTTTGCCAAAGTCCGAGATATTGTGGATTTCCCTGTTCCTGCCATCCCATTTAACCAAAAGAGACAGGTTCCGCGCGAAGTCATAGCCCAGTCTTTTATCTGTTGAAGGAGCTCGGTTCTGGTGCCTGGGAAACATTCATCTTCATATTGATCTAGGTATGAATTATACTCGGCTCCACACGCAAAGGGCAGTTTGTCAAGATCCGTCATTTGATTAACATGTTCCGCATGTTGAATCATTCCAGTGATGAGTGATCTAGATATATCTAAGCCGAATATTCTCGGGGAGGTTATAAGAGCTTGAAACCTACGTCTGATCCACCTGCAATGATAAAGTGAAGGAGGATTTGTATCTCTCAAGATTCCGAATAACACTCTCCACCTCTGTGTGTTTCAGAGGCCACTTTAAGGCTCGAAATCCCACTTTTTTCATCAGCTTCTTTCCCCTCCCAGGATCGATTTTTACTGCTAAGTCCTGGAGGTCGGAGAGGCATTCGGCAACATTACCGACCAGACGTTCGGAGGTAGGTAAGGCCTTGCTGTTGCTGTCAAGGAATTTCAGGAGGTCTTGAAGAATACCTTGGAGGGCTATTATTGCCCGTTGTAGGTTAACAATATGATCTCGTGCATCCTTCACCTCCTGGATGTAGCTCCCACAAAGCTTCACAAGGCTTCCTGTTAGTTGAATGACACTGATAATGCTCGCAGCTGAGGAGAGTCCATCCATTTAGAAAACCAGAGAGTATAAACGCTTATTTACAAGGTGGGTAAGAGATATGGAGACTACAGTGCGCGGTTTAGATTCGCCTTTTGTCGGTTGGTTCTCCTTGATGAGATAAGGAGGGGCAAGTTGAGTGTTGGGTGCAAGGCTGTGATTTATCATGCATTTCAGGCGTTAAAGATGACTAATCATGTATTCACTGTTGCAAGTCCTAGCAGATACTATGGGCGAGGACTCATGTAGATCAATGAATAATCCATTATTCCTTAAGGCGACACGAGATTCAATACTCATACTTTTCTACTGGATAACAGATCGATTGTTGAGTTGGAGATTCCATACTGCAGTGGCCGGTGTGCGACCAAAAACATTTCGGGCTGACAGGCACGGCCGCCAAGAAAGCCGTTGACTATTAGGGATATCTTTGGGTGCAGGGAAGTTGAAGCTCAAACCAGTAATCTCTGTTGGCCTGAAGCCGCGACATGAATGATGAGCATCGGCAGAAATTACGAATAGATACCTTATGGTCGACCTTTGCGTGCCAAATTAACACTGGGCAGATCCCAGGAAAGCGCCTGGCTCGCTGCAGTGAAGCACCGACATGCTGGAGATTTCACCATTATTAGCAGGATGGAGCGGCATAGAGAAACCTAATGTTAGTGCTATTATACTTAGCTGTTGTGTTGCTTAAATGCCTATCAGGATCAGATCGACCTGTTCAATCGTCGCACGCTTCGCCACTCGGGCCAAATGCTGTTCCTCGATGTGAAGGACAGCATGGACCACCACGACGCCCAGCAGCTTTCTCGTCTAAATACGGCCCATCGCAGTGTCGCTGCTGCGCTTGTGATTCGCCTGCGTTCCCAACGAGTTGCCAACCCGACTGGAATCGCTGTTCTCACCCCGTACCGAATGGAAACATCGAAATGTGATGACCGCCCTGGTGCCCTGCGTCAGAAAGACAAAAGGGCAATCGAAAAAAAAGAAAGCATATAAGACGAAGATGCGGAAGTTGGATCCGTCCATCGAAATGTTGGTAAGACTTTCATTGCCACTACGTACATAAATTTGTGAGCCGAGCCTAGTTCGGGAAATACCAGGCACTCTTTGCCATTGCAACAACAGCAGCCCGGCTTGCAACTATATCTCGTACAACTCAAGACCATCGACTACTTTCAGGGTAGGGAATCGAATGTTGTCGTACTCGACCTCACCGTTGTTTCCTCCCTGGACTCTATGCGGGAGGGCAATCGCCTGAATGTCGCTCTGAGTCGGGCGAACATGCACTCTATATCATCGGCAACTACAAAGCTATGGATCCACCTAACCGAAAAAAGACCTATTGCCGTCGTTTCCCTTCCGCAGTCCTATGCCTGTCGAAAGCAAAAAAATACTGCTATGTCATCTGTGATTTCCATATCGTTAACTCCAGCGGAGTTCAAAAACTGGGCTCTCTTCTAACCATCTTGGTATAAAGGGTTCTTGTGCCCATATGGCTTTTCTTACCCAGAAGCTACCAGGTCGGACTCGATCTTTCTAAGATGGAGAAACCTCCGCCGGCAGTACCGACATTCACTCGACCGACCATGCCAATGTTCCCCGCGGGCATTATCACTGATATGCCCCATAACTGGGACGACAACGGTTTTCGGGTCAGATTCGATCATACCACGGCTTTCCTAAAGTTTCAAATCCTCCGACTATAAGTATGTTGCAGTTGGGCACTTGCGGTGACATTGCTGACTGGACTAGAACGGTGGACTGCCAATGAGAGCCACCATAACCGGCTACGAATCCTGATTTGTGTCTTTCGTTCCCGCTGTGATATCAGTGAACGGCCTTCTAGATCTTGATGGATGGCTTCAGATTGGATCTCCCGCTAACGAGCCATCGGCCTTCGAGGTCCTACATAACATACCAGCCAGCACAGACAGCTACTTTATCCACTCCTGATAGACTGTCAACCTCCGATTCCAGGCCGCAGGGGGACAGGAAGATGAATCGGTAAGGCTACCGAAACTCTCATTTAGCATAATGCTAAGGACTTTCAGAAAGCTTACCTCATCACGGAACTCACACTATTTCAACGCCGACGATTGACGCAAGATTTCAGAGCACTTGAAGAAGATGGAGAATCACACGTACCGTTGGCTTCACGTCATCTTCGTCACGATCAGGGAGAATCTGAGCGTGTATTCCAAGCGATCGGCTATTGAAAGCTAACTGTCTGGTATACTTCAAAGTATCCGAGGGGTGTCATAAGGGGTTGCAAAACCATCAATTTCTTGTTGATATACGTCGTTTCCACTTGGGTCGCTGGTGAGACACTGTCGATGCCGCTGAGACAGATAGGGCAATGCCTATCAAACGCTCTCAGGCTCCTTCACCCCCTGTGGCTCCAAAGGTTGGCTGGACGCCGTTGCCTCACTGATCGGCGGGACGGTGCCCTTGCTTACAGTATGGCTATCGACTGATTGATCCTGACCTGGAAGAGGATCAGCGTATTATGATGCGCGAGGCAACCCGGAAGAGGCTTCATCGTGACCCAGCAGAGATACGATAACCAAATTGACCCGGACAGTCAAGTACTAGGTGGCTTTAAGAAGGCATTAGAAGCCCAGTGTCTCCAAGCGCCCGCGTACCGCGCAACGGGTGTGCTCCCTGCCTGCTCGGGCTATTCTCTGAGTCTTCCTCGTGAGTAGTGCCTTTCCCAGCGATTCCGTGCGTTACTGAGGCTTGCAGAACTTATTAAAAAAGCACGAATGCGATAATGCCAAAACTTTATCTCCACCCTGGGTTTACAAGCGGGACAGCACCAGCGCGCAGCCCCTTATGATAAACCTTGAGTAGAAGCCCGACTGAGGAATAGACTGAGATCATTCTTAGCAGGGCCTTCTCCACTCAGCCTTGAGATCAAACCCTAAGTTATGCAACCACCTGCACTCCATTATCAGCAATTAGCAACATGGTCAGAGTAAGCATACAGCTTCTACTTACCCTTCTTTCCCAATAATCAAAGCACCTTACGAAGCACAACCACACCTGCAGATTGAATCGCTAGCTAATGAGTCCCGGGGCAGGCTAGAGGTTGCACACATCATACCCTACAGTTACACATTCGAACGCCTTGACCGGTGGGCAGATCCGTGTACTGTGAAGGACTAGGTATGTGTGACCCGATCTCTAAACACTCCCAGCTGCATATCTTTCTATACTGCCAGTACATTCAGAGCACTTGTTAACATACAAACTAGGACGTGGAAAACTATACTTGTCGCATACCCTTTCTTCTCGGGACAACTCGCCCGCTACATTGATGATTGGCCGTGTGTCTCCGGCTTCTATTCCACGTATGAGAGACTGGCGGGAAAATGCTACCAAGGCAGCTATTTAGTCGCATTGTGGGAGAGATCTCAGATACAGCTTCTAACGAACAAGGAGATGAGTCTCCTGACAATACTGGCAGCAACTTGTCTCGAGGATCATGCAGTCTGCGTGTCGTTAGAGAAACGATTTCACGAAGGTCTCCCACCTATCTTGGAGTCTGTGCAATCTCTAACTATTAAACAGGCATCTGCCAGCAGGAAGAGTCGCTTCTCGAGCATCACTGTATGGCGCTTAAGACGTGGGCTGTACCCACATCCTTTTGGGCCTGCCTTCAACTAGCAGACCTATCGGCATTAAGGACTTTCGTCTAAGAAGCTCAAGTGGCACCATGCTTATGCGAAATGTTATCTAGTAACTTGTATGTGCTTCCCCGGATTTAGCGTCAGAACGCACGAAAAGATCATAGCTCATCATGTTCATCTTCGTCACAGGAATTGAACCTTCTAATGCTGTTCCCCGTTCCAGATCAGCTAAAAAATCACCAAAGAACGTGATGGGGGCGACTGCATAGTTACTGGCCGTCAGGATGTCCAAACTTCTCACATTTTTCCCCATTGCTTGTTAAAGAAAAGGAAGCCTACGGATCTCAAAAGTTCTATACCTGAAAGTTGTTGTCGCTGTTCTTTAACAATGAGCATGTCCTCCAGTGGAAGGATGCGATCTTCCCAAAACTACAATGAATATGAAGCGACCTGGCCGGTTGGATTCGTGTCACAGCACGATCCAGCAGCAGGCACCAGTGGTCGCCATCTGCTCGCAATCAAATAGTGTCCGTCACTTCAATACATCATTGATCATGCACAACAGGTCCGTTCTCCGTCGCAAATGGCTATCAAAATAGGTTCTTTGAAGCCAGAGTTCGAGGATGGATCCTCGATCTGGACTATGATGGAGATGAGGGAGATTAGGGAGATGGCTTACCTTGCTACTATGCTCGTGTGAAGCCGGCCCCGGAAGAAGACAAAGAGATGTCCATTGAAGATGAATGAGTTGAATAAGACTCACTCACTCCTGCAGCAGTCCCGGCTGCTCCATCCCACACTCCGACTGCCCCTGCATTACAGATACCCTCAGCACCCTCTCAGCCTCCGACCGACCCTACGCCACAAACGTCGCCAGCAGTACACACAATCCCAGGCCTAGAAGACTGCCCGGTATACGTCAAGAATAATCAAATGAAAAACGAAATGGCTCCTTTGCACTATATCAGTGCACTACAAACAGACTGTCAAGATGCCACTAGTTTGAGGCTTGGTGTTTCGTGATAGGTCCAAAAGATTTCCAAAGTCGAGACGCACCTCAGAAGTGACGAACTCTTCTGCGAGAGTCCGAGAACAGCGAGGGGACAATGCCAATCGGATAGCATCTAACAATGCGATCCCCTATATCTCAACGCTAAAAGCTTTAGGAGGCATATCGCATTACACCAAAACCATACTGGACTGGTCCCGGCAAGCCGATGCGAACATGAGACACAATCGATATGCCATCAATGTGTCGGGGAAAGCAACGCCTGTCGCGGTACTCTCCAGCGGCAAATCTTTCAGAATCTAGATCACCATTTCCTTACAACCGAAAGGAGGCTCATATTGTCCTTTGACGCACTATCTCGCTCATTCAAAAATTCAACGATTCTGTCTTCACCACTTCAATTGTCACGGATTCTCGAAGGGTGACTGGACAGCATGCCTGTCAGCAGACAGAAAAGATTGTTTCAATTTGACTCCATCCTAAACTCCGTCGATTGAACAATGAATACCAAGATCCAAGAGCCCTGCTGTCAGAGATTACACAGAGCTTGTCTATGAGTCAATTACTCCCAAGGAAGGTGCTCTGATTTGTCGTTCACTCGCGGACCCGAACAGTCGAGTCAAGTTGCGCAAGGTAAGACCATCTCCAGACAGACGTAGGCTGGATTTCTCTAAATTTTGTTCTGTTCCAGACTCAATTTCAATAGTTTCCACCAGAACTCTTTGGGTTCGAATCATGCCACTGAGCTTCACGATGTCCATCAAAGATGGTTTAGTGACGCCAGTCGTACCTGGGTCTTTGATGGATTGAAGTGTAAGTTGGCTCTCCCTGTCGGCTTGGTGTCGCGACTAACATTCTGAAGTGCCCCGCCGCTTACAGGGGGCACTCCGTGGGCAGGGTTGATGATCGGCTCCCGCTCAATTCACCTGTGCTTCTACGCCTGGTTCAAACCGCGCTCATATAGTAGACCTGCGTGGTTGTGGAGCTCCCGCCTGGACAAGGCAGCGGCCCCTGTCTGGCCGCGAGCGGACATGGGTCAGGCGTTACTCCCACTGCTGTTGGGGGAGATTTAAGTCCGAGGATCCTGATGATAGCGAGTCACTGTTGGTGGCAATGGACCTAAAGGGGAGGACTTTGTTCGCCCCTATGCGCATCTCCTTGATCCAAAAATTCCCTCAGCAAACAGCCGCTCCATTGTACCTTTGCGGCTGTGGGCAACATCTGCCCTCGTTGCTGCTCTCTTGCACGAGGCAATCACTATGGTTTCTGGTGTGACCACCAAAGCCCGTGCAAGCAGAGGACAATTGAGGGCAGCTCTGGGAAGCAGCCCGTGCTGTGATTACTTCGAGCCTTAGCTTGGAATGGAAAACAGGACGCAACAGAGCCCTTGCTCAGTCATTGATTGACAGGCTGAAGATCGTTTTTCAAGCTTGGCACTCGGCGTTTCTCTATCGAAGATCGACTACGTATTATGACGACTTCAAGTCAATTCAGAGCTATTGAAGACTACTGTACAGATTGAGCACCCAGACAAAACATTTAACTTCAATACCAAAGCCGGGAAACAGGCTCTGTCGGCATACCGGAGCCACAAGGATTCAAGTCAGCGATTGTTGAGGGTCTAGCACTGCAACACCACGCCCCAGGTTACCGGATGACAAGGGTGAGGTGAGTCTGTATTCTTGTCTTTATTTGCCAACTCTGCTCACAAACTCACCCTCCAGGATGTTGATATACTGCGTCCCACCAATTAGCCTCCAGATCCAGACCAGTTCGAGGAGGCTGTGCCGATGGAGATTGTCGCTCTTGAAAGGAGCCGTTATCGTCTGCAGGTCCTGATCAGTCTGGCGGTAGATTTGCCGACGCTATTCAAAGACATTGAGTCCAAACTCGCAGGACCACTAACCGGTCCCGGAGACCAGGATATCCAGGCCCTGGGCGGCAAAGGCTGGCATTGCGGCGCTCTATGACGAAAAGACCAGTTTTGAGGGGCCTGGGACGATTGGTGCTGGACCATCCATCGGCCTGCAGGCTCCGCGTCCTGCGATTGTCCTCAAGCTATACCCTACCACGCTAGATGAGGCAGCAATGAATGTGCACCTAGTCCTGCTAATCCAGGAACTAATCAACCTGAAGAGGTCATCCAACTTCGACTGCACAATTACGTGTACGATATGCGCTTAAGTTTCGGACAAGCTCGTACACCACTACTGTTGATGGCGTGGTGCATTCCAGGAGGACAGAAAATGTTTTGGCCATCCTTGATGTCAATCCAATGGTTAGGCTTGCTTAGGTTGCTCTTGTGGTATGAACTTCTCCCGGCCTATTCGCCAACGCGCTGCAATTTCACTAATAATTACTAGAAAAAAATATTCATATGTAGTGAAATTCCGACACGTTATTGTTTGTCCAGTATGTACCTTTTATATGGCGTTGCTGTATAAAAGGTACAAATGCCATTACGCTGTGGTGTCTCATTACGCTGTGACTCACCCACAAGGCGGAGTGGCGTTGTGGGCAGTGCCACGAGAGAAGCAGTGAGTCTCTGCAGAAGCAATCATTCGGATGCGCCAAGGTATGCGCCCAGTCCCAGCTGAGTGGCAGTATCCGACTATCGCCAGACTGAAGTATAGCGCGCTGCACCTCACCAAATTATGTGTTGATTTACAGCGAGTGGCGTTGCGTGTGGACTAATTCGGTATCCCAAGGTACCGCACTCCTATTCCATCCTAGAGGGGATATCGCATTTCTCGATGGTAGCGCTTCAATCTTCGATACTACGGACAAACTACAATCTAGAAGTCGCCAAGACTCGGGGGGAGTCAGAGGCTCATTGGACAATAAATGGCGGGAGCAGTTAGATTAGAATATAGAAGAGACGGGTCCCGATGAACTGTTACATGCCAGACGAAACGAGGGATTCGATTCGGCACTAAGGACGAAAGTACCGAAGCTGGAGTGAAGAGAAGGAACGATGCAGGAAAGTGGGGAATACTCTCGATAACAACCCATTTCCCTTCTGCCTTGTTTGCACGCCACAACTTCTTCCTAAGCTCTGTCCATGTCTATTGCTCCAATGCCAATTCGCATCAACTCGTCACATGAACTACGTAAATTTAGCATATGGGGCTTATAAAACCATGCACGAGTGGCTTGGTTGGGCTGCCAGTAGCCCCATGGGGAGTGATTAGTTTAAGCAAAGAAGGACCCCTTTCCCGGGCAACTCACCAGAATGCATGAAAAGGAGGCGTGCGGTTGAAATGTCGACGCCAACGAATTGACCTTGGCTTATTTGGCGTTGTTTGTTTCAGCTGATGGGGTCGTATCGCTCTGCAGAGATGTTGGTGAGGCTTGCACTTTGCTTTTTGCGTCCAACGCTGCACGCATATACGAGCTGCAGGCTGAATATGAGATAAATATGGAGTATGAACCGGCACATTCTGGTCTGGCAAGGCTGCGCTTGGCATCCTACTCAACTCTAACTGTGGGAGACTATGAAATGAATCCTTTGTATACTTGGTAAATCTCCTTGAATTTATGACTTTTAAGCCAAAATAGCTATCCAGCCTCTCCACCATGCCGCGACTGGCTAATTTGCAGACAGGATCAACGGACTATGAGTATGGTCAACTCCCGTATAATCACACAGACTATGGCGAACGTATGTCCTCGTACTCCACTCTTTACTGCTCCTCGAAACACACAACCACTAATGTTTGTTCAGCTGATGTCGCCGATTGCAAATTCCCTTCACTACCTAAGAAGGTGAACAAAACGTGGGAGCGAAACGCCATCTGGGGAATTATAGGGACTGCCTTCTTCCTAGTTGCCTGCTTTATCGGAGTCGCGATAGCTTTCACAGTCGTGTTCGCTGTCAAGTCCCCCAATTTTGGCGGCTACAGCTCCCACAGCCCACCATACGCGCTCTACAAAAACACTCGATTCGAGGAATGCTACGGTGCACCAGCATCCACGGCAAACTGTTCCGCCATACTAGTCTCTCTGAATGACACCAGCATTACTGGCTCCGGGGGCAATGACGTCGCGTACCTTGGCAGTAATAAGGTATTCAACAAGGACAACAACCCTATCGCGGACTGGTGCGAAGCCATCAGCTGCTTTAATGACTACAAGGTCATTCCGTCTACTCCACGCGATTCGGCCATTTGGCCGACTCTGCTCACTAGCTGGGCCACATCTGCTGGCTTCCTAGCAGGATCGCTGTTTCAGCTTTTGCTACAGCAGAAAGCGTTGTACAGCCCGAGAAATAAGCCCTGTAAAGCGCTCGGCGATATACACTGGTACAGTTGGTTATTTATTGGCTATGATCTATTTTCGTTCGCCTGGTGGTGGGTGTCATTTGGGAAACTGGCTGCCGCGCCAGAGAGCGCTGCCACACCTTTCATAGTTGGCTGGGTAATCCCCTGGAAATACGCCGGTCTGTTCAGATACCATCCATTTTCTTGCGCCTTTGGAAAAAACCGGCGTGGGAAAAATGTCGCACGGTGGATCTTGTACATCCTAGCAGCGATACAGTGGATTGCTTCGTGGTACGTGATCCACGTCAATTTTCCATCCAGGATGGCTAGCTGGGGCCTGCGTGCGCCTAATCCAAGCTACGATTGCGTGCAGTCTCAAATCGACGCTGCGCCCGGAGTTTCGTCTTGCTCAGCGACACAGATCTGCTCTCGCAATTGGCTGTTCGTTGATTATGGGTTTGAACTCGCCTATCTGCATCAAAACTCAACTATCGCTATCGGGCTAATGTTCCTTGCATTGACAATAGCGGCCCTTTCCCCTCTGTTAATGGCGGCCGCGGCTTGTTTCTTAAGAGATAAGAGTCCGGACCTATCGCCTCGTAGCCTGCTACGATGGGCAGATCCTGGACCAATTGCTATCCTTTCCATTCTCTCCGTTTTTGAGATTATTACTGGGTGTATACTTGTTGACGATATGGTAAAGAGACTCAACGTTACTCCTGACGCGGCGGTCGCCTTCGACTGGGAATGTCAGGCTATTCATGTTGCTTTGAGTCCTTGGAGGTATTACATCGATGTGGACTATGAACGGGGGCGGCGAATTGCTAAGTTGTGGTTCAATTCATGAGGTGGTTCAGGTTTGTCTCCCGGGCTGTTCGTTTTGTTATTTATCAAGCTGAGCGGTGGTATTTTACCACTAACGCCTGGCTATTCAGCGACTATCTACCGACTCCTCCGTGTGTTTTGATATGGTAAACCGGGTCAGCTCGAAATGCCCGCCTCCTAGCACGCCATACTAGCCCCTGAGGCTAAGAGACGCCTTCAAACAGCGTTCTTCTAGTTAGTTCTTTAATCAACTCATTTAATTGGTTCCCTCAGTACTAGCACGTACGGAAATCCTGTGGCTCAATACTTATGAGCCCGATTAGCGCACTGCGATAGGGTATTAAGATATATACAACGGCTTGCTCTGTACCTTAGCAGTGTACGATGTCGAATCGAAGCGACCGGATCAGTGAATGAACCCCTGAACGGTATGGACGGAGCGACTACGCACACGGTGGATAACCACGCCTCGAATCGACAAGACGCATAGCATAACTAGGATATACCTAGGTAGGGAGTGCTGAGGATGGCGGATAGTACCTAGTCAGAAGAGCTGAAGGCGGTGCCTCGGGATCAACGGCTTCGTCCGGAGGCTCAATAGAGAGTCTAGATGGCTATATACGGTCAGCCGCTATTAACGAAGATGTGTAGGAGAGACTTAGCAAGCAATGTTACGGTTACTACAACTCGGTAACTTTATGTAGAGGATGCAAGGACCTCAGTCTGAGCCCGCCACGAACTTTCTGTCGTCTATCTCGGCCTGATGTGCGGTCAGCTCTGTTCTGCACTGTTCCCGGACACAGCCAGAGAGAATGGCAACGCCCCCGGAGGGAGAGCTTTGAGCAGCTGCGAAGATATACGAGACACATGGTGGCTCAGCACCCATGGCGTCATCCCCAATACAGCATTATCGCCGTCGGCAGATATGTCGAGTTCCTTACCATTGGGACGCAGGGCAACAGTGCGGACGATAGTGATGACGAAACTCTGGATGACAGCATGTTAGCAATTAAGCAGCTGGCGTCGTTGCAGGAGGCCGCGGAGACTATTAATGCTGAGGATATGCCAACATATCAGAAGTATACGTGATCATAAGCTTGACAGCTTACGTTACTATATCATTACTATATTATATGGAAGGGGGGCCACTTCAGATCAGCAATTTTCGTCCGGCTATGGTCAATACCATATATCACCATTGATTCACCAGAGCTTCAGGTTATCATGGTGCACAGATAAGACTGAGGAATTTTACTCCTGCTGAGAAGCGTGAGAAAGCAATTCGAGTCATCCATGTCCGGATGGTTTGGCCGCGTGGTCTGTGATGAGGGCGGCCGACTCCGCGACAAAAGAAAGCATCAAATCGATCAAGGCACAGGTATGATGTTTGTTCCTATACAACGAACTATTTGAACCATCCTAGGCAAGATCAGAAGGGACGGAAGACCATATCCCAGATTGTGTATGTCGACAAGACACTATGATTATCAACAGCGGGTGGGCCAGCTCAATCAGCTATCCATCAGAACAATATCCAACGGGCAGGCTACAATCCGAAGCGCCAAAGCCGGATCAGAACGATTCAAACACAGTGAAATCGGTCTTTAGATATCTAAGAAGAAATCTATATGGTATTGAGTTGGTCACTTGGGTACTCTTTGTGGGGCTGGTGAATATCATAATGGTTCAATAAGCCTTCTTGAATTGGTGGAAGTGAATAAACCCATGAACCTGCAAAACAGAGGGTTTCATGATTAGCTCATGACTACAAAATATATTGGCTACTGTAGTAGGGGATGATGGTACCTTTGAGAGTGCTGGAATGCCACCATGGATCCAACATGTCTGTGAGTCCGTCTATATTACATCTTCTGTGATAATTGATATTCACAATCTTGATCTACTTGAGATCAAGTGAATGTCAGAGCAAGGAGGCTCTTTCCCACTTTCTAGAGACCACATCTGGCATCCTGTCTTCTTGGAATTATCTTCATCACATCAAACCATCCATCACCACCGTCATCATCATCAAAAGCCTTACTGTTATGGAACCAGCGAGACTGCTGATCGAGAGGCCTATCTCCCGCTTGAAGCAAAATCGTGGTACGACAAACGTATCTATCTCTYGCGAGGACATCTCGGCGCAGTTCTCGCGTGAATGGTTGGACTTCCCCGAACAGGTTTCGGCCTTATGCAACCCTCTGCTTTTATACAAATGTATCTGTGACAGATGACTCGGACAACAATGAGCACCTCCTGGTAGGAAGCAAGCTGGGACTCGCTGGCAGATTCCATAAACACATCTGCGACGCAGTGGCCAGGATAAGCTTGACGTGAGCGATGGGGAGGTGGTGATCAACCCTACGACATATTCAAGATCCAATGCCCGCAACTTTGCGGTAGTTATGGATCTCATTGAGCATCTCATTCCGGCAAACGCAATTCACGTTTTGTCTTGCTGCATCCTTCCGATCTATCCCGATCAGAAAAAGGCTTACGTCGATGCAATCTTTCGCGCAAACTCGACATTGCTTGGGCCTCAAAACGCTACGCCTATGTCCGGGTCCTAAAAAGGGCCGTGCTAGACGAAAGTTCGTTGCGAACACGTCCGTCGAAGGCAGTTCACCGGACGACAAAAAACTCCTCCAGGACGCGAGACAGGCGTGGGAGGAGATCAAAACCAGGCTGACCTGTCAGTGACAGAGCTAGGCCTTGTCTTTGGAGATTTCCAAGCCACTGCAGGCCCAAATACTGATGTACGGGACGTTGGCCTGCTTTTTCTGCCGAGATTGAACGTCCTCGGCGTGGGCGTGCTCAAAAAATTTTGGACGGTCGAGCTTGAAAAGTACCTGGTCAATGGAGGTGCCGCGGACTAGCCGAAGCTCCCGTTTCAATCATACTCGCGTGAGTGCCTAGCCTTTGTCCACTTGGCTATTGACAAGCTAATCCTTTCTCATGGCAGCTGAAAAATACTTTTTGAGCCGTTTTGGCAGGACTCAACCCGCCTCTCTTCCTATGGGAACGTACTGGCGACTAAGACTAGTTCACAAGAAGCGCCGGGCTTGCAATCGATCCTCTCGGAGATGACAATGGCGATGGCGTGGCCCGGCAATGTGTCAATTGTCATCGATTGATCAAACAATCCCATCATAAGGCCTTGTATGAGGTCACATGGGACGGCGAGCCTGCTGCGGCGGAATGCTGGTTCGATTCACGTTTTCAAGGGTACGAACACTTCCCTTCTTCCATTGCCACGGCGGCAGAATCACTGACACTGTGCAGTTAAATCCATGAAGCTAGTACTTACGAGAGGCTTCACCAGCTAAAGCCGGAAGGCTTTGAATTCTTCGTTTCTTTCCGAAGTCGAGGGAAGAGAGTCTGCTCGTCCGTCTTCCCTCGGGGCCACATCATGATCATATCCGAAGGCCAAGGGCGAGCGCCTGGACAGACAATGGGACATTCTCTCGGCAGGCCACAAGGAGTACATACGCTCGACGATTCCCAAGCCAGTTAAAGTGCTCAGAAGCGTCAGGTATCTTGCCGTCGATTCTAGAAACCACGAGACGGGATTACGTTATATGTAGGTCTTGCCCCCACGGATTGCATTCCTTACGGTAGCCTTTCTATCTACCTTTCATTTAGCGCTGGGATTTATGAAAGTACTGAATAAAACGCATAGATTAACCTTTTATTGCTGCCTAAGTGAGCGATGACATCAGCTGTTCTGCTTGATGCCCCTTGTTGCTTCTCTCACTCTCCCGGTCTCCGGTCTGTCTCTCGTAGACACCGCTGTCTATAGTTGTCCTTCTTTTAAGATTTTTAATTTGATCAAAGATCCTTTATGTATATACGCGAACAGATTACCATCCCTGTATTCGGGTATGGCCATTGCGTTTTAGTATAAGAACCTTTTCGAGCTGTTGAGAGAAAGCCATGGCATTCAGGTCGTCGCCGGGCCATCTCTTTTGAACCCAGTTAAGTGCTCTGTTCCAATAGTATTCACATCGGGTATAGTCAGCTTTCGCAAGGTAAACGAATCCTAGACGGTCGCACGTATATATGTCGCATATATCTGGTTGCTGCGGTCCGTGTTCAGAGAGGCCGACCGAGAGGGCTTCCAAAAGTACCTTTTCAGCCTCGTTGTAAAGGCCCAGGTCATAATATATGCGTCCAAGTCTGCGCATACTGATGCGAGTAGTTTTATGAGCATAACCGTTCGCCTTGCTGCTCTCCCGAATTAATTTCTGGCATATATCAGCAGCGGCAGGGAAGTTTTTTTGCATTCTAAGTAGATCACTCAAAGCCCACTGGTACCGGCAAATGTCGCTGGAGATATTATCGGAACGCTCAATAACCATGTCTAGCATTAACTTCAGGGCCGGCTCGGCAGAGTCGACAAGTGTATTGTAAGTGGGAAGCAAGCGTAAGATCACAGTTAAGGGGTGAGAAGAACCTAAAACCTGTTCGGCTGTTGATGCAAGAAACCTGAGTAGATGAAGCCGCAAATCGGGAAAGTCGTACCATCGCTGGTCTGTAAATAGTAAAAAGAGCACTCTGATTAGGTCCTGCTCCTGTTGTTGAAAAACGACCCTCGCCATATCGCAGCCCGTATTGATCAAAGTCCACGGTTGCCGCGGCACTTTTTTAGCAAGTTGATCAACAGCGTGAGTGAATACTCCAGTCAGATCGTACGCATTCTTTTCGATTTGCAAATCCATATGCCGCGATGGGACATTGGTGAAAGACGAATCTCCAGAAATCGGAAAGTTGCTCTGTTGAAGATGCCATCGGAAGTAGTCCCTGATCTGCAACAGGGCGGTCTCTGTATTGCGCGCACTTGCTGATTGATTGAGGATGTTGCTTGTACTACGGAGAACGCTATTTAAGTAGTTTTGATGCCAGTAAGCAGGTGAATGATCTGTTCCGAGTACGAGTTCTGTATCCGATAACGCTATAGTGCTTGCGGCGACTGACTGTATGTCTGGAGCGGACTCTGTTATACCCATGGTTTCTGAAATAGTCTGATTCGGGTTATTAAGTAGACGTGGCCTGCATTCTTTTCCTAAATTGTCACGTAAATGGCGGCACAGAGATCTGCTAGACGAAAATATCTTTTCGCAGCCCCAGACCTCTCCGTTCTCGAGGGTAGTGCGGCAAGGATAGACCGTAGAAGCTGAAGAATGTATTTCCTTTTCATGAACTTTTCGATCATGGTTCCTTGTGAAACTTTTGTGACAAGTAGTGCAGGAGTACGGTTTCACCCCCTTGTGGACGTTGAGATGGTTCTGCAGCGCAAATGCGCGAGTGAAGGACTTTGAACAGATAGAGCAGGGATAAATATGCCGTTCTTTGGTAGCCATCATGGAAACTCTCAGTCGAGGCTGTAGAGGGTGGCATTCGGCGAAGATGGAAGTGTATGTAACAGATGCGGGGTTTAGTTAAGTTAGTGTCTGTGGTTTAGTCAATAGTCCCCCATCACTCGACCCACAGGTGACAGATCTCTATGCCTTATGGGGTACTGAGAAGGTTACGTTTGAAATGATGAAACTGACTGTATCTGGTTGATTCTTATTATGGATGGTTGTTAGATACAGATACGAGAGAACAAGGAGGAAACGTCATAATTCATAAAATGGGAAGCGAGGCAATGACGCTGAGTCAGCTGCTGTTTGCACTGTTTGCCTATTTCTCTGTGACAGTACCCAACATAATGGCTTTTCCCTTTTCGGCCCCATAGTTAAACGGACTACATCCGTAGATATCCCATCTTTAGTTAATAGATCGATTGTATGCGCTTTCTGACAGTCTCCGACATACAGAGCGGAATTCAAGTTGTTGACGATTTCGAATTATTACAGTGATTCAAGTGACGCCAATCTTAACCTGTCCTGCGTTGGGCGAACTGGGGGCATGGGGACTGGTATATCCAAGTTCTCTCGGCAGTACCCTTGAATAACACTTGGTGGCCATCAACTAGAGCTCAGTTGCCTAATACCCTATCTATGTACCACTCTCAGATTCTTGTGGCGGAGCCTGCACTGGCACTAGCGTACCGCCGGACCAAGCCAATCATCTCAATCATTATTTACTTGGCAGACAATAAAGATTATGTCAGCCAGTACTTCCTGCAAACCACACTGAACTCTCAAAAGAGTAGTTATCTGGCCCTAAGGCTCATCAAGACGCTGGATTGCTCTTGCGTAGAAGAATATGTGAAAGCACTGGCACTGGCACTGGCACTGGCACCGGCAAACTACTGCTACCATTATATGTGGTGACTATTCCTAGATATGAATCAATTTATTGCACTGGCACATGGGTCAACTATATAAGGTGATGATATTCCTGTCTCTAGTACCTCTCTTAGTAGATCCAAGGGCTGTACAAGTGAAGTCTTTGGATATCTCTCATCATAAAGACAAACAAAATATAGTTGGTAAGTGCAAGTCACTTAAGTGGCAAGTGCAGTTATTTGCAGCTAACACAGCAAAAAGAATAACCACACCTCTTTAAGAAAATGCTTGCAGACCTAATTTTAACAATTGTGTTTGGCATTTTCTCGATGATCCTGGGAATAATTGCTATTCTCCAGAATTGGCGCATGGAGAGGATCATTAGCATGTCGAACCCATATTCTATGTACAACTTGTTTTATTTCTAATTAGCTTGGATAGGAATGGTTGCGCCTGGACATTAAAACAACCAAACCGAAACTTCAATGAGATTATGTATGAGGAAAATAGGAAAAAGGGGGAAAAAAGATGAAAAGAGGGGAAAGAAACAATGGAGTCGCTGTTTTAGCTATGATTGCATTCCCTGCATGTTTATATATTTTGTTCAGTGTTCAGTATCATAATGTCATGGTGTAAGGCGCTTAATTACCTTTTGTTGTTGTTATGGGGTGGTGCTGCTATGGTAAGCTCTACTGCTAGGCATACAAAAATAGTTATCTCATTTATCTATGTCCATTAGGATTGGCTTGTACTTCCTATTGCTATGTGGGTGCTAGGGGCTTTATTCTGTATAAGCAGTGCGCGGAGCATATATGAAGCTCAGATACAGGCCTGGATGAACAGTATTTTGCCTCTGGCACGCCTTACTGGCAGTGAAAATAGAAGCATTCCTGAATCAGGGGAACCTAGTGGACAAAGCCCAGATAGTGGTGACGGCGGTCGATACTATAGGCTTCCCTGCTCTATACCACCATATGAGGGATATAGCAAAGTCCCCGATTTTGTCACCTTGGACAGACCGTGGATTCCTCCACTTCTGTTGGGAAACAAGTGAGGGCGAACGAATCGTGATGCCAACGAGCCGCCTCGCTCAGGCATACTACCTGATCGCCAATGCTGTAAAACGGGCTTCTTATTATTCATGCATTGGCCCGTGGTAATGTGGGTATTCGAGATGTTTCTGGACTCGACTCGGCCCTTGCTCCTGTTTTCGAAGCAATGCCTGGTCTGGGGCCTCCCAGTCATCCGCTACTTCCGTTACTGAGGACGAGGATATCGATTATTGGGAGAACCTCGCTTCGAAAGGTCAAGGCGAAAAGGTTGCGGTTAAGGATACCAACGATCTTGACAATGACGACGTCAATCCTTGAGGCGGAGGCGGAGGCTGAGGTAGGACGCAATGTTCTACCGAAGAAGCCGGTGAAGTCGAAGACTCACGCCTTTACTTTCCCCTAGGAGCGGATCAATGGCAAAGTTAAATCCATGTTTGCAACCACATGCATTTGGTTGCCCATTATATGGGCTATGGCATATCACATCAGCCTATATACGACAGGAGATACTACCAGGAAACTCCTGAACGAGATCAGTGCTGAGACGAGAATGCTTAACGCTAAGATTGACAAGCTAACTGGCCCGAGCGATCAATGCCCTAGCGATCTTCTAGATTATGCATGCGGACAGATTGCAGTCGTGAAAACTGACTCTTACCGTGACATGGACACATGGACATCCAAGAAGCGATGAGCGGTTAATACTTGATGTGCCACAACCTCCGCAATATAATCGACTGTCAGACCTTCAGGTCTTTAATGTGATCGCGAAGGACGCGCAGACTGATAAACACAGAAACTGGCCCAAGTCTGCCTCACCCCGCAGATCCAATCCACCATCGACGACCAGCGTGCTGAGACGAGAGAACAGAGAGCACTCCGAGGAACTTAAAAATATCCTGAAGGCCTTGATACTTTCCCATCTCCAGATACAGTTATTTTGCGATCTGTAACCCATCTGAAAGCAGTCCTTCGAAACCGCTTGCTGAAACTGGAGCTTTGGCTCTTCCAGGATGGAGGAGGAACCAGGAAGCAGCATCCTAGTTTTTGCAGCTCGGAAAGTCCTTGAGAGCATACTCTATAGATATTGTGAAGTCCTCCGGAAGGTAGTGATACCGCAAAACACTACAGCACTTCTTCACCCTCTTCTTCTTCTTCTTTCTCCCCACATGCGCTATCCTTGTCTTTTCCCTTCTCACTAAAGACGGAATAATGGCTGGTATTACGTCTATACTAGCAGCCGTCGGAGTCTGGGTTTCAGCATGTCCAGTTCTGTGGACCAATATGCTGTGGGGAGCTGAGAACCGGGAGCATTCGTATCTCATGTCGATCGAAACGGTTTGTTATGCAGCAGAAGCTGAAGGGTAAGATGCTTTATGCTCTTGCAATATTTCTTTCCGAGCTGGCGGATGGCTGGTACTTATTACTATCCACTTTTCGCTTGCATTGTTAGCTGGGATGGAAAGAACTGAATTGGTCTAAACGTGGACGAGCGTTGATCTACTCCATTGGGATACAGATTAACGCTCATCGCAAGTATTTTCAATGGGCACAGGGGCAGGTATTATACCAATATGACTATGGATATGTATTCTAGACTGAGGAGTACATCGTCCGACAGCTTAGTCTATCGGTATAGATTTAATTAGACATTGAGCCGTCGTTCCTTCTGCTACTAAGCTGTACAGCAGTATATCTACTAAAGAGAAATCATCAAAACACCAGCCATGGCAGCAACAACTCCATACGCAACCAACGGCCAGCCGCCCACCCGGACCGCCGCAGGGTTCACAGAACTGGCAGCCGCACCCTTGGACGTAGACGTACTCGCCGCACTACCACTACCGCTGGTAGCACCACTGCCCCCCGTCGGCTGGGACGTGACCGTCCCCGTTCCMGCGGAACCAGCCTGACTAACCAGCGACTTACAGTCCGTCGACTGGCCCTTGGGCGACTGCACCGACGCCGCGCCGGCAAAGTCACACGCGGAGGCAGCCTTATTCTGGTTCTTGTAGTACCGATCAAACACATACGACAGCTGGTCCTTGCTCGTGCAGACGCTGTACGCGCCGTACGAGCCCGTCGTGGCGTTGTGCGCGATCCCGTCGCAGATGCCGCCGCCGTACCCGCAGACTTGCCCGAAGAGCTTGCCGTACTGGTCTGCGGAGACGGAGTCCTTGACCACGCAGGACAGGCTGGATACCATGCAGTTGCAGAGCTCCGCGTTGGGGATCGGGGGCAGCGGGCTGGACTTGGCGAGCCAGGTGCCGTCGGCGGTGGGGCAGGCGCGCGGCGAGTTGGTGGGCGAGTAGCTGGCGCTGTTGACCCCGGTGGGCGTGGCGCTTTGCATCTCGGACGAGAGGTAGGTGAAGTCTGGTTCGAGGGAGACGGAGGAGCCGGACACGGAGACCAGGCCGTAGTCGTTGGTTGTCTCGAAGTACATGTAGACGATGCCGCCGCTCCAGACATTGTTCATCTGTGGGCCGAAGAGCACGGGCACGTCGGAGAACTTGCGGGGTTTCTCCGTGTTGCAGCCGTATTCGGAGAAGAAGATGGGGATGGAGTAGTCCTTGTACTGCTCGGTGCGGTTCTCGTAGCCGGAGGTCTGGAAGGTCTTGTCGCCACACCATTCGTAGATGTTGTAGCCGAAGAAGTCGATCGCGTCGGCCTGGTCGCCGCAGTTGAGGTAGTCGGACAGCGGGAGCCGGATCTCCGGGTTGT